GAGCAGGATTCGAACTTGGGTCATCGGGTTCGTAGAGCAGCGTGCAAACCGGTACACTACCGCTGCCAAACACAATCGCCATGAGCACACAACGTCTGACGGGGCTGGTCGGGGTTACACAAGCAAAAGTGTCCGAGCTGGGACCTGCCCACAGACTTCATCTTTACTCACCTTCACGTTCCATATGATGACCCTGCAGTCATCACCTGCCGAGGCAAACCTGTGGAAGTCGTAGAGGATGTAATCACCCCACAATAACCAACTGGATAACGCATTTTAACACGTAGGCTTTCGCGACCAATATTATTCATAATAAAGGTTTTTGGGTTAGATCGCGTTATTTATAAATGTGTCGTAACCCTCCACCACCTGACACGGCAAATCAGCAAAAAAAGTGTCACGTTGATAAAAGACAATTAGTTCACTACTTTAGCCCACCGGTGTGTTGAAGAGTGAATCCACAACATTTACAGTTTGAATACGACGTTTCGCTGGTAATTACATCCAGCATCATCGGGCAATTCGCCAGAATGGTAAAGCCCTCACTTGCTCTAACACACATTACAACTAATTACTAATCTACAACTCATTACTAATCATAACCATTGACTGATTACCAATCGATTATATAATTACAATAACCCCCCTCCGCCTCAAATCACTGCACCTGAAATGAGTTAAATGATGACATCACCCTGCTGCTCTATTTAAGACCGAGAGCAAGTGAGGGCTTTACCATTCTGGCGAATTGCCCGATGATGCTGGATGTAATTACCAGCGAAACGTCGTATTCAAACTGTAAATGTTGTGGATTCACTCTTTGAACACACCGGTGAGCTAAAGTAGTGAACTAATTGTCTTTTGTCAACGTGACACTTTTTTTTACCAATTGGCCGTGTCGGGTGGTGGAGGGTTACGACAAACATAAATAAATAACTCGATCTAATCCAAAAACCTTTATTATGGCTAACGCATGCTGACACAATCTGACATGCCCCCTTGCTCTAACTCAATACAAAACTCAACACCAGTTTCTAGATGCATGAAACTCTCTGCGCCATAACGACACCAACTCCGGGTTCCAGACCATAGATGAGCACCAGAGGCACGTTTTAAATTTGTAAAGATAATACAAAAACAGTCAGGAGTTCTACTTTGTGTCATCATTTACATGGCACACTCATACATTACACCCTCAAGTGTTATTTGTTGCAGGCCACTTGTTTCGGTTCTTTGGATCTGTGCTCAGCAAAAGTGATTAAAATCAACAATACGATAAGCGGTTTCTGAAAATGAAAAATACTTTTATTTCCCTTTTAGTAATTCCTTCACCAAACCTCTTCCAAGGCATCCGATTCGCACGGTTCACTACGTACGGTGCAAAATAAGTTCAACATACATACATGGAAAAGTATACCAAATACCCTCTAGAATAGCTCTCGTGGAGGCCCATCTTTTAGCAGCGGCGTGAACACGAAATTACAGCGCTGCACCTTTACCTTTAACCAAGTGGCTGAGAGGGATTCGTGTGACACAACACACTGCCACCGCGACCCTTACCAGGGTCAAGTGGACTGAGAAACAAACGAACGAACAATTGCTGCGCATGCGAACCATGACGGACTGTCAAGAGGAGGCAGGCGTGCTGTGCAGACCACCGGCACGGTTTCACTTTCTTCCTACCTGTAGTCATCCAAGCGAACCAAGAGACGCACTATATCTGTGTGTCCGGCCAGAACCTGGAGCTCAGTAAATGGATTCGATGGCTGCACATCACCAATCTCCAGTACCTGTGAAAGCAGTACAACAACTTTCCACAAAAATACATCGCGCACCCAAGACATATGTACGGCACTGTGTAAGGCAATATCGCACAGATAAGTACATATGGGAAAACAGCAAGACACACACGATACATTGCTCCAAATGATATTCACTTGAACAGAGTGATTTTTTTTCAAGAATACCTACAGCTCTGAAGGACCAAGTAGTGAGAGTTCACCGAGACAATATTACCTTCTCAATCTATATTCTAGAAGCTTAGCATAAGACAATTTTTTAAAATATCCACAACAATAACAATGCGTTCTATAGAATGTACATGCAATAAACCCTCCAAAATATTGACGCACACAGCATGTATGTTGAAGTTCTATACTCTTTGGTTCTATTCGGTAAAGTCACGTAGGTAAAAAAAACTTTACCGAATAGAACCAAAGAGTATGGATCCTTGCAGTCACGAAAGCTTCAAATCTAGAATTGTTGAAGTTCTGTCGCACCGTACGTAGACAACCGTGCTTATCGTCAATACAATTTTACTCTCAATTGCGTCTAATTTGTGACGTGTAAGGGTTAACTTATTTGTCATTTCCCAATGTCCTGCCCTTTCCATTTCTTCCCCCCTCCACCCCAACAACATCGTTGTCACTAAAACAGGCCGAGTTTCCGCGATAGCAACTTGCACACGAAAAAAAATACCTGGGACTAGCGATGGCCCAGTGGCTGAATGTGACCCTGCTTTCATTATTATTAAATATACAGCATTAACTTTAGGTGGGGGGTATGAACCACATTTCACCCATGGCTAGCGGATAGTGGTTTGTGGCCATGCCGGTGAATGCGGGTTGCGGATGCTTCTTCTGAAATCGCCGCGGTCTCCACTCCGACATGTGGCGCGGGTGTGTGGCGAAGCGTCCGCACCTCTTTGCTCTCCACCGCGTCCCTCTTCCCCACCAGCCAGCTCCACATCCTCCTGACACGGCCACGCGACAGCAACAATGAGCGGGTAACATGCTAACTAGGTCATCACAGTTTAACACGTACGCTTTCGCGACCAATATCATCCATAATAGCGTTTTATTTGGGGAGGTCAGGAAGGACACGATCAATGGGCTCGCATAATGCGCTTGCATAATGTACGCTGACTCAAGAGTGCAGAAGTGTGGTCACCACATCTACGCCTCTATATAAGGAACGAAACAAGTGGACTTCTTCACAAATCTGGCTGTCGCCTGATGAAGCTGGTTGTCATTACTGGTGAAACGTCACTCAGTTTGTAAATGTTGTGGCTTTGCTCTCCAACACACCGGTGTGCTGTACTAGTGACAAATTGCCACGTTCTGTTTACGTGACAACCCTTACTAGTTGGCTGTGTCGGGTGGTGGTGGGTTTAACGACACATTTATATATTTACGTGATCTAACCCAAAAAATACTTTATTATAGGCCACCCACAAGACAAAGACCCCCCCCCCGTACAGCCTTTAACAGACTGTAGGGGCAAGTGCTGTTACCGAGCAGCACCTATGAAGGCCGCAACGGTACACGAGGGGGTGGGTGGCCAGCACCACGCCCGACCGCCTTTGTCTCCCCAGTGGCGAAGTTTTACACACCGCACCAGGTACTCATTCGAGGCTGAGTCGACCCACACACGCGCATCATAACACACCGTGAGGGTATAATGGATTGGATAAACACATTCCTGCGGAGGGAGCTGGTAGGAACGTTGGGTTGTTCGGTCAATGGCCAGGGTCAAGGGCGGCACCACGTGATGTATTCCGCACAATATGCCCGACTATCAGGGCGGGCACAAGCCGGCGTGAGTAGGTTAAACGTTGAGTTTTATAAGGGCACCACGGGGTGACCAGCCCCTCCCCTCCCCACCCAGCCCCTCCACTCCCCACCCAGCCCCACCCCTCCCATTTTTGGATGCACGACGGACGGACACAATAATCCCCTGTGGGCTGGTGGTGTCACCAGGAGGTTCCTACCGGTATCATTCTTCGTCAGGAGCGAGATGTCGGTGTCGCGCGGTCTGCTAGCCACGACGTTGAAGGCGCTCACAAACTTAAAAATAACAAATAGTTCACTACTTTAGCCCACCAGGTGTGTTGAAGAGTGAATCTACAACATTTCCAATTTTTGAGCACGACGTTTCGCTGGTAATCACATCCAGCATCATCGGGCAAAGTGTTGTGGATACACTCTTCAACACACCGGTGGGCTAAAGTAGTGAACTATTTTGTCTTTTGTCAACGTGACACTTTTTGTTTTACCGATTGGCCGTGTCGGGTGGTGGAGGGTTACGACACATAAATAACGCGATATAACCCAAAGAACGTTTATTATGAATATTGGTCGCGAAAGCCTCCTACGTGTTAAACTAACGTGGTTTACAACACGGTCCAACAGGTCGCGTTGCATGGCCCACCAGTCGCGCCGTCTTTTCCCCCTCCCCCCGTGAGCAGGAGCTAGACGCAGTGTTGTATCCCGAAACTCTTTAAGGCGACCGACTGCCTTCATCATCCAGCAGTGGACAAAACCACGGTACATCATTTAAGCAGCGCGCACACACACACCTGAGGCTTCGTGACGGCGCTCGCTCTGCGAGGTCCAGCAGCAGCAGAAGTCGCAGTGAGCTCTGTGGACAGCGCCGGCAATGACCACGACCGGCTTAGAATGAACAACAACAGCGGCCGGGCAGCCGCTACTGTCCGCACTGTAAACACGTGAGCCATGTGACGTCACCACGACGCGCGGCTCCCCCGCCCCCCTCGCCCCCCCTCTCCCCCACCCCCTCGCCCCCCCTCTCCCCCCACTACCTCTACCCCCCTCTACCCCACTCAGATTGTAATTATTGTAGTTGGTTCACTCACCTAACACACCGGTGTGCTGTACTAGTGACGAATTGTCGGCACGTTCTGTTTACGTGACAAACCTTAGCAATTGGCTGTTTCGGGTGGTGGCGGGTTTAACGACACATTCATATTTACGCGATCTAAATCCCCCCCCCCCAAAAAACACCCTGCATTATGGATGACATTGGTCGCCCTACTACTTACGTCTTAAACTTAAAAAAAAAAATTGAATTAAAGATTTAAAAAAAAGTTTTAAAACAAGGCGACCTCTTTGCCCCGGAAGTTGCGACGCTTGAGCCGGAAGCGCCCGGCCCCTGCTGCTCCGGCTACGGAAACCCCCTCCACGACGACCGCCATCTTCAGTGGGGATTCGTGAAGGCGAAGAGGCGAACGGTTCCCCGACTCCATCTCGGCCCTCAAACCCGTCTCTCTCGCGCGCGCCGTCCGTGGTGGAAGCGTGGGATCGCGTCGATACAGGCGTCGAAAAATCGCGCCGGCTTCGCGGCATCGCGGCCGCCCCCTCAGCGCGCCATGCACAGGACGATGGCTCACCAGGCGGGCGATGAGATCGGGTGAGCGGAGCGCGCTGCGAGAGTGTGGGGTAGAGTGAGAGCCTCAAAATGGCGGCGCGAAGGGGGGGTCCCCTCTCTCTGTCATCGGTGAGAGAGAGACTCCTCTCTCGGAGTCTCTCACCGATGAGTTGCGACTATCGCTGTTACTAATTACCGTTACTGACGGTGTTAAGTGCCGTCGTGTTGCGTTAGACCACTGCCGTGTTTTTACCCCTGTTGCTATTGTTAGCCGCCTGCCGTTGCTGCGACGGTCGCTCGACCGCGTTTTAAGAGTCTTGTTACCTGCGATAAATGCCCACAAAAAGTCACTTTTAGTTTGAGCAATCGTTTGTGGTAAGCTCGCTTCTCAAAAAAAATATCTCTGTGGGTCTCAACCTTATAAAATAAATAGTTGGTACTATGGGTTATTAATACTACCGTGGTTACTTTTTCTGTTAGCGTGTTATATTTACTGCTGCTGCCGGCGTTAGCTGCTATGGTGTTACGGCTGTCACTACCGTGTGCTTCTATCTCGTTAAGAGTATTTGGCTGCGATGCATTTCCACACGATAAGCCGCCTTGTTGAGCTATCATTAGTCGCCAGGTCGCTTCTGAAAAAGAGCTAAATAGCTCCGTGGGCCTTAACCTGGTAAAATAGTACTTTTACTGGGTTATTAATACCACCGTGTTAATATTTATGTTCGCGTGTTATTACTCACCGTGTTACTACAATATCGTATCGTGTTAATCATACTGCCTTGTGTAATTATTCCCCTTACTACGTATAACTTGGAGATTATAGTACACCTTAAGCAGTGTTTCCAGCTGCTTTGCGTTTTGGGCCCGTGGTCACGTAAACGTGATTTAAAAAAAAAAACAAGTTCGTAATTTGTATATTCGTCGTTCTTGCTAATACGTACGGGTTAATGACCACAACCACTGGCTAACATTCTTAATGCGCACCGACTGAAGGTTACGTCCGTTACACGATGCTTAAGGGATGGCTGTTCATAGTGGCATGTGTTGTGAAACGTTGTGCTCTTGGATGCGGGTGAAAAGAGGATCTAAAACAAGCCCTGTGACGATGCGAAACAACCCCTGAAAAAATACCCCTTGTGAGATGTCCTAAGGTCTCGGAAGTGTATATCTGCTGGTGACTAGGTTTTAGCCGTCCCTAAACCGGATCATACTAATTCATTTCCCCCCCCAACTATATAACAACTTTAATTGTTGATTAATCAAACATCTTAAAGACCATATTCTTCGGGGACGTACCTTGGCTGTGGGTTCAAGAAAAAAGTTTTAAGTTAAGCGAGCAACAAAAAGCGCGCGGTCTGCAGCGGTTACTAGATATCCACCGAGTACTCTAATCACGTTCTTGGCGAACACGAGTTCGACTTTTTATACATATGTATTTACGTATATTTTTTGGGGGGGGGTGTGTGGGGGACAATTGCAGATTTTGGGCGAGGGTTTTTTTGTTGTTGTCGCATAGCGCGGTCGTTCGCCGAGTGTGTGGGTGCTAACAAAAGCGAATAGACTCGCTAGCCCCCACCACGTGTCTCGCTTGGCGGGAAAACGGCGATGCCGTGGTTAGCGACTGCACGGGTCCCGTGCCACGAGGTCTCTGGGATAGACTCGACGAAATACGATTCATAAACCACGCCTCCTACCACTGTTTGGTATTCGCACCAAAAAAAATGTATACAAGATACGAGAGCTTACGTGTTGTGCGATGGCTTTTATTGATCCTGAACCAGACCGTGGCGACGATGAGAGCCGGGAATCCTTCCCATTCCCCCCCCCACCTCGAGTTGTGTTTCCACAAACAACCGCGGGGTGACCTCGTGGAGGTGTGGCGAGCGCGTTCTGAAAAGCCACCCGAACCTGTTTTTCTCTCTGTGCACTCACTTTTTTTCCTTCCACGGGGAATGGGGGGTACAGCTTTTATTTAAGCGTCACAGTTCGCGGGAGCATAGGCTCAAAACGGCCAAGTGCTGTAGTATAGATAAGAGTGTAACATTTCTCCACAATTTGAACGAGGTTCCTATGTGAGCTTGGGGCCAAAGCAAAATTAGACGATGGGAGGAGGGAAGAAGAACCAAAGTAGTTGGTGGAAGCGATGGTTTCCAGAGTGGGGCTTGCCCCTTTTTGGGGAGTTTTAACCGAGCCAGGCGAGGCCTTGCTTCACTGCCTCGCACTAATTCCTGCGGTTGTGGTTTGCTACAGTCGTTATCTGCACAGCAGTTAGATGGGCTTTGAACTGTTAGCGAGCTTCATTGCCCTTGAAGGAAAATAAACCAGTTGAGTGCTTTATTCCAGGTTTGTCAGAGTAATACGTGGTGGAGTGGAATTATTGGTATAAATAACCAGTGTGATGTGACAATATAGCCGGGCACACTTGAGTGTACGTTTAATTGGCCAGAATAATGTCAAGGCCTGTACATGAGGCGCCATGTGCTACTGGCTGCCATCATTGATTTATAAAAGCACATGAATGTAGTATTTGTTTAGCAAATGGTCCAGTGAAGTCTTATTTTTACACTGATAATATAGAACAATGAATCCAGCAGTGGCTAATGATGAATATTTTACTCGGACCGTGTTTGTGAACATAAGTTGAACGTGCGACATACACAGTGCAGATCTAATTGAGAGTTGTGTGTGGTCTGCAAAGACTTAAATATATACAATACATAACCTGCATACATGATGCAACCTACACGACTTGTTTTAATTGGATTTTTTAAAATGTTGTTTCTTTTTTTTACTGCAGGAAACTATTTGTTGGCGGTCTGGACTGGAACACCAGCCAAGGTGGGATTTTTTTTTACTTAAAAATAAGGCTCGGGCAGATATAATTGTATAGTATGACACACCGATGTGATTTGTAAACGGAAGTATGCTATCTAAATTCTTAATTCTCGCTGGAATGGTGGAAATAAGAGCACGATTGCTCAGACCGGTAACCATAAATATGCATTGTGAGTATTGCTTGTAAAGTTAAATGGTTTAATATTTCCGTGATTCAAGTATGCATGTCTTGTAGGTCATAGCATACACATATGATTCAATATTTGTATTGAATTTCCTCATAGATTGTGTACTCGTAACAATTGAGGCAGTAGAGTGTAATATATATTACTAATTAATTGCTTAACTGCTGCCCGAATCAGCTTTTTCTATTATGTAAATTGGAATGGGCCATGCAAGTGCAGACTACACAATATATAATATTGGGTTCAGAATGCTCAATATGGTCTAGTGGTAAACTCCTGTTATCTGTAAATTATTTGACATGCCCACAATCCCAAACAAGAGGAGTTATGCTAAAAAATACAAGTTCCATGACCCATTGTGAAGAGGTTATAGAAGTGCTACAATGTGTGTGGAGCGTCACCATGTTTTCGCTTGTCATTTCTACAGAGGGACTGCAAATATACTTCTCGCAATTTGGGGAGGTGATCGACTGCGTCATCATGAAGGACAAGGAAACGAATCAGTCCCGTGGTTTTGGCTTTGTCAAGTTCAAGGATCCCAACTGCATTGGCATGGTGCTGGCCAACAGACCTCACTGCCTCGATGGCCGTACGGTGGGTCTACTGGACTGCTCCTGTCCCCTCTACGCGTCATTCCAAAACACCACCTTTATTTTAGCTGAGATCTAAACCATTTTTCTATAACCTTCAACATTTATTGTCATGAAAAGTATTGTTTTTCGATGACGGGTACATTGTTGCTATGTACTACGAATCTAATTAAATGTGTGATCTATGTTACTAAATTGGGATTACAAATAGCAGTCGTCGCCCCCTCTTTGCTGTTTACATGGCTGGTCCTGAGTGACCTTGTGACCGCAGGGATATACGCCACTGCTCTGGAGTGCCCTTAAAATTGTTTGAGATGTGATTTATTGTAAAGCACTCATCAAATGACCTAGTGTATATGGTGCTGTAATCAACTATATTATACAGTAATTCCTCATTTAACATGGTTGATGCGTTTGTTAAAAGTATCGCGTTAAGCGAGGAATATCTAATGATTTCCATTTGCGCTATAAAATCATCCTGCAGTCATCCTACGGCAGGACAAATACCTCAGGAGGATGGTATGCCGTGCCCCAGAATTCCCCCATACTGCTCAGCCGCGCAGCTCCAAAAACTTTTTGGTCGTCGACCGAACGGAAGACCGTGTCTTTTTTAACAGGGCACATTCTGCGTTGGGTGAAAGTGTTCCCGAATAGAAGAACCGCGTGTGTTCACTCAAGGCGGAAACGCTTTGCGTGAACACACGTTTAGCGACCACATAACGTGTTTAGAATAAAGTCAATATTTCTTCATGACTGTATTTATTCCTCCCACCCAGCTTAAAATACGCTGCCAAGCTTAGTGTTCATTGGAGTGTGCTGTCTTTCTGACAGTTGTTTCTTCACCTGAGGAAGGCTACTTGTGTTGTGGCCGAAACGTCGTGAGAATTTTATTATGTTTTAATGTTATTATTTCGCTTCTACGTGACTTTACCGAAAGAACCAAGAAGATGAATCCCTGCAGTGACGAAAGCTTTAAATCGAAATGTATTTCTTTTTCTTACAGATTGACCCCAAGCCGTGTACACCTCGTTCCATGCAGACGCCCAAACAAAACCACCAGGAGGTAGGTCCCTTGCATGGCACTTTTCATGGCACTTACTGTGAATAGGAGTCCGCCCCTGTGCATTAAGCAAGTTTGTAGGTTTTTCCTGAGTAGTCTAAACTATATAGCGTCACTTACATTTGGCATACAGTACCTGATAAACGCAGCATAAATCAAATCCTGCTTTTATCCGAAATATGCATGGTGATCACATTGCTTATTTTTACAATACCTTTACACTGTTGTGAAACACTTTCTTGGCTTAACAGTTTAGATGTTTGTGACTGTTGATGAACATTGTTTACTGCATTTCTCAGCCCTTTATCTGACTAAGACTTCCGGTCATTGGATTCATAGCCTAGTATGCCATCCAATGCACCAGTTCACACTCTTTCCCTCCTTCCCCACAACAAAAATAAAATATAAATAATTTGACAATTCACATTACAGTGTACTTGTTCATCACACATTAAAGAACTTTGCGGTCGTTACGTAAAAAAAATTGCACGACAAATTTAACACAGTTACATTCTGAAGTGCCCTTCATGTGTAATTGTCACCACAGCAAGCTGCAAAATCATTGTCTTGGTGACAGAGCTGGCAAATACAATCGTACATCTAAATGTTTTTATGGTTTGTTAACAGACATTGGATTAAGCTGACTGCATGGTTGAAAAGCTCGTTCAATTTATATCCAGCCCTGAAGTCCAGTTAAGATAGCCATTACAATGAGTGAAGACTTTCAGTAGAGTTTTGCATTGGGATGTTTGGCCAATAAAAAATGTCATTGTAGCTTCTTAACGGGTGCAACCGAGTGCATTTTTACTTTGGCTGTGTGTTTTAGTTTCTATTAAAACGTGCCTATGTGGCTATGTGTATTTTCAGAGACCACCTCCTGCAAATCAAAATGTTATCAGATGTAAAAAGATTTTTGTCGGTGGAATTCCACACAACTGTGGAGACATGGAGCTCAGGGAATACTTCAAAAGATTTGGCATGGTGAGTTTAAGCGACACTTGCAGCCTATTTGTGTAATGCACACAAACTTGGTCCTGCCATAAAAAATATACGTCTTATATGTGCTACCCTCAAAGTAGCACATTAATACTTGTCACGTTTCCACCCTGACCCGGTCCCATCTTTGGTGTGCGTCACCTAAAAGCTGCAAACATAATTTCTATCGCAGCCATACCGTAATTTACCCATGGTACTTACCACACAATGAATCTTACCTCGGGTGAGAACGCTAGATACATTAGCACACTGCACTTAATTTGTTCTCTATCATTCAACCAAACAAATTCTATTCCTTTGCACTATTCTCATACAGTCGTTAAAATTACGTGAAATGCATTGTGTGGCTTGTTCATGCGATACATTAAGAATAGATGAGGTGTCTTTGGTAATCGATTGATTTATGAATAACTAGTTCATAAAGCCTGTCTATGGCAGGCATAAGTTTTCAATAAATAGAATGAACCTTTTTTTTATCTATAATCAGACACAACTCCATCGGAAACCACTCAATTTAAATATTCCGTTACTTATTAGGAAGAACAATAATTAAAGCGCTTCATACTGAGAAGCTCCTATGTTTTACCGTTTTTGAATTCAGATTTGAACATCATAAAATGTGTTTCTTTCGTTCAAAACCCCTTGAATCTAAAACATCTCAAGCAATAAAAGATAAAACTGGTTCTCGCTTAAATTTAATTTTCTGTTTAATGCTCTATCAAGCGGGAAAAAAACGCAATCATATTTTGAGTGGTTCCTGAATGACACGCAGCAAACATGTTTGTGGAGCACTTAAAATCTAGATTTGGGGGGCCTTAAAATAAAACAAATTTCAGATTTTTCCTGTCTGTGCTCTAAAAGCTACCTATGTACCAAATTTCAGCTTCCTAACTTGTCAGGAACTACCCTAGAGGCTTTTGAGACATACATACAGCTTAAGGTCTTTATATAGATTTATATTTTAAACATTGAGCATAAATACAATCATAAGGTGTCTTCAGCCATTAAAGGACTGAATTCATATGCAGTGCTTGGCTATCTGATTGGCCTTAAGGTATGTGTATTCAATGGCTGCCAATACAGGTATCCCTCGATTTACAAACGTTTAGTTTATGGCATTTCGCATTAACACATCACACATTATGGACACTTTTCCATGAACGAAATCGAATTTCCACGTAAACGAAGTTTCACATGGTACGCGCTATGAGATCAAACAAGAACCACCCGGGAGGTTGCGTGAGAGCACTGACCCGGGATGCCTACAAGGGTTGTGACATCTGGTTCTGTGAACTGTAAAAGGGTGAGACAAAAATGAGTAAGTATGATGGCAATGTGGCACAACTGATTAAACTGTTGTGTTTGTGTGTCATCACACAAACCTGGTTGATTTTCTTCAGGTCATCAAGAATGTTTTTATATTGGCATATTAAGACCTGTTAATGCACCTTAATATGTAGAATATCTCTTCAGGTGAATTCATGTACAGCAGGTTGCATATCAATATGCTTTTACAATGCCTTTTGTGTGTTATTTTAGTGGACAAGTGTAAAGTTGGATTGCATATTTTTTTATTAAAATATTTCACCTCCCCCTAAATTGTTATTGTAAAATTAAATGAAAAGAATGCAAGTAACTTTCTAAGCTATAATAACCATAGAGGTCGTGCAAGATTATTCAGGAAAAAACTATACCACACCATAACTCAACAATCGTCACTGGTTGTTCTGCTCATCACATTTAAGACTCATTTTGTGATATTGATCATACATTACAGTTGGGAGGTAATTTCACTGTTTTTCAGGTTACAGAAGTTGTAATGATATATGATCAACTGAAACAGAGGCCGAGAGGTAAGATCTTTGTTGTGCATCACAGACTGCATTAGGTCAGCAATGCATATGACAAGATGTCCATTTCAACGATTCAAATTGTAACTTGTAAATTTTTTGGTAGTCATAAATGAGCCATTGCATATATATACCCTTAAAAATATTTATCTTGTCATCTGCATTGCAATTCCTGTAGTTTATACATTAAGTACGATTATTGGCAATGGGTTGCTCACATAATCCATGCATCAATAAAGTGTCCATGTATAATATCGTGCAGAGTAGGGTATTTAAATATGAGAAGTTAAAATAATTTTATGGGATGGGTGGGGGGGATATGACTTGAGTCTCAAACTCAATCGCATTATGTGCAGGGTTTATGCAGGATGGCCAATTTGTATATCCAGTTTGAACATTGTATCTGTTTAAATTATACGTGTTTTATTTAGATTATCGTTTACACATGCATCAGTGTTCAGTGAAACAGGAATACTTAAGATGCGTTACGGCCCAGTGTTATGGGTTATGTTGAGCTGCCTCAATAGGAAAAGGACATTTTAAAAAAATAATTAGATTTACAATTTGTGCATTTAATCCCGGTCTATACATTTTAAAAAAGTTTTTGTCAAATCGATACCGTGACCGTTACCTTTAGACTCTACAATGTGCGTCCATTGATATTTAACACTTAATTTGAATATTCTTGGTTCTTTCAGTAAAGTCACGTAGAAGGGAAACAATAAAAATATAAAACAATAAAATTCTCACGACGTTTCTCGACTGCAACACAAGCAATCATCAGGTGTGAAAACCACAGCAAGAAAATTTGAATGTTAGTGCAATAATTACTCAACATTTGGAAATCCGCGTGTAACTTTAAGAACCAGGCTTGGGGTGCAGAGTTAGAAGCACTACTGTTGAGTGCTTGATGCTTTCATACTGGCCACAACATCCATGCTACACATTGCCGCCCCCATTGCCAGATCGTTTTAATTCAACTCATGTTCATTCTGAAACCCAATACAGTTCTGTAGCATCTTTCCATTTGGGCTATATACAGCATACACATTTAAAACTTGAATCTGCCCCAAGACTGCACACATTCTGTAAATTAAAGCCAACCAATGTCATTTCCTGGCTGCTTTTGTCTCTCGAATACTGATTTTTACACTGCATCAGTAATCATTGAAACGCCCACTGACAGGCACACATGTAAATAGAGTACGGGTATGTTATACATAATAATAGGTGCATGTTTGAACAATCGCAAAAAATACATTTATCTGTAAAATGTAGCCTATGTGCATGATAGTGTGCACTTTGGGTTTAGTGTCCATACAGACTGCACATGGCTCTTGTGTTCCACGGGGTGTTGCTTTCCTGGTGTATGATCCCCAAACACTTGGCTGAAATTTGAGTGTGCGAGATTTAAGTTCTGCAAGGGCCATTGACAAATGGGTTAGTGATTTGTCAACCCAGACCATTGTTACGTTTTGATGAAGTTGACGAAAGACAATTCGCCCCTTTGGAACTTTCACGGTATTAGTTAATAATGACGTTCAGATGTTAAATAATTATCGTGCACTTATTCAATGTAATTGAATTTGTTGAGAATATTTATTCCAAGTGAAATGATGTCCTTTTCCGAATATGTATTTTGATTAAATGAGTCGTGGCGTACAAGCCTTTAGACAGAATTTGACTTTTCATGCACAGTGGAGTCTGTTTAGTGTTGTTTCCTACGCTATTGTTAAAGTGTTAAGAATGTTTTAAAGCGGTACTTTTCAACCATTTTCATTTCACGTCACGCTCTCGAGCTTGCTCGATCCTTTTTTTGCGGCACACCAAACCAAAAGAAAAAAACGGTCCTGCTGATTATCTCAAACCCCCAACCACATGCCCCCCCCCCCCCCCCCCCATTTCACGGTCTGGTCTCCCGCGTGCCTCTCTCTCCCCTGCTGGCTGGTAGCTGGGCTGCCAATCAGAGCATCTTCTGGTCGGTGAGCAGTGGGGAGCCTGGCCTGTGGGTTGGTGGGAAGGCAGGGGATCTTGAAGTTCTTTCCGTTCCAATTCGGTTCTCTTCGCATAGAATCCTTTTCTAATTCCGCGGCACACCTGGGACTTAATGTGCTTTGGCACACTAGTTGAGAAGCACTGTTTTAAAGTATAAGCTGTATTTATACAATTGGCGCTAGCTTTTTAAATAAATGGCAGCGGTGTCAATCACTACATTAAACAGATTCCACTGTAACTATATCAGAACTTATGATAAGTAATATTTTAATGTTGCCATAGTTTATAAGCCGTGTAAGTTTTAATTTATAGTCAATAGTTTGCTTAATGTTTATGATTTTGTATTGATGTGTGTTAATTATTTTTCTTTAGCCATTCCCCTGTAGGTGTCATTGTGGCTGTTACCTTACCGGTGTTGCAGATGAGTACAGGCTGTTTAGTGGACTGTTTGACCATTTTGCCATAAAAGATGCTGATTTCCTGGAATGCCACAAACTTGAGAATGCAATGGTGATCTTCATAGGCTGCATTTATGCTTCCACAAGTCGTCAGATTTTACCTCCACAACATTTTGGGGGAAAAGCATAGCTTGTGGCATTTCTAGCTGCGCATCAGTCGCCGCTCATAAATTTTGGTCAAGAAAGATGGGCCTTGGAAAAGTCTGTCTGAGCCTGTACTTGTTTGCAGCAGGCATCTGGAGCCTCTCCCTGCTGCCTGTGCTGAGTTGGCATGGAGAGCGCTTTCTGATGGTCTTTCTAACCCCCGTATCATAAGGATAAAGCTAAGTGTCTGCTGCGCCACTGAATGCCAAGCATGCCGTGGTGAGCCCGTGAGCGTGAAGAGGCTATACCTCCCCTAATGCTGTGCATCATCCTGTCTTGTGTTACTTCACCCTGCTTCCTTGAAACAATCTACACCGTGGGATAGGTTTTGGATTTATTTCTTTCGAAGACGAGCAATCTGTGGACCAGGCTGTCAACTTGCATTTTCACGACATCATGGGCAAAAAAGTGTGTAGTAGTAGTTTTATTTTTACTTAAGTTTTTGCTGGGGCTTAGCCTTTTTGTCATTCACAGTTTTTGTGTAAACCTTAGCACGTAATGTTCAAAGTAAAGACATTGTGCCCACAGCTGTAACATGCTGTGAAGGACATGAATGTTGAGTCCCAGTATTCCAGATCCTTCAGCAAAATAAAAAAAAGTAGCAAAAAATACTCGGCATAGCAAGCTTTTTCAATTTAAGTCGACTAGTTTAATTCCAGTCCCGATGTCGAAGCAACAAATAGCCCCTTGCCATAGCACTATATTGGAACGGAAATACATAAATCTGCCCCCCCTTTAGCATGTTTTATGGCATGTTCACATTCATATTTTCACCATACAATAGCCTTGTGGGTGGCTTGCCTCTTAATCAGTCTGCAGAAGTGAACGTCTCAGCTCTGCTTGTTCAACTGATCCCACTAAATTCTGATCAACACCGTTTAAGTTGATGGTGCCACAGGTGTCATGGCCCAACTCTCCTGCAATAACTGCCCTTGTTACCTGCTGTCCCTAACTAAGAAGTCACATAAAGAGCCAAAAGACATCTCGCATGGCAAACCATAGGCTTTTACAGGTTATATATGAATAGTCGTAAATTATGTATACCGTCAATACGTTTGTAATTATTTCTCTTTGCATGCAGTGCTCTTGGCTGCTTGTCTCATGGCTGCATGCAAGCTGTGGCCTGTGTGTTTTTGAAACACCTGAAAGTGTGTGCTTCTTTCACATTAGGTTATTCCCATTAACCACTCTCAAACAGGTTTTTTTTATTTCGCTATACACTCCCAACAGGGTTTGTTTTTTTAATTTGAGAGGCTACGTATTGCATTACTTGGTTACCTAACGGGATGTGTGCATGAACTATCCAGAGACGACAACGAAACACGCCGACGTGCTATAGCTGGGGGCTATTACATGGCAGACATACCTCCAGTGAACTCTTCATAACAACTTGAGTTACTTTCCCATTGATATTTAGCCCGTTAACGTTGCACATATATAAATGCGTAAACCTGGCAGATTTGATTTGGAGAAAAGGACACCAATGGTGTGGTCTGCAGGCTATTAAAAATCTACTGATTGTCGACGCAAGTGAAGGAAATGTTTTGGTTGGTTCTAGAGGGTAGAGCTCAGGTCAAGGTGGACCAAGGTACAAGCTATTTCCGTTGATATTACGTATTTCAAAATATTGCATTTGCTCTAGCCATGCAATCGTCGTTTAGCAATTGGTGTTCGTGTTTGCTGAAGGACCTGTTTTTACATAATTTCACATTGTCATTTGTTGTATGTTGATTATTTTACATGTTGGTTTCAGGTATGAGATATCTGGTGTATCTTGTTGTTTAAAAGAAACAAGGCTTTCATTTCTGTAACCGGTGTCACATTTGTGATGCAAAGTGAAAACAAGTTTATAGCTGCTCTCATACACTTGCAGAATTGCTTGATTCTTAGCAAGTTTGATATGTAAAACATTGAGATACTTGAGAGTTTACCATTGTCTTAAACATTGCCAATTCGTTTGCTGTGATAAAATCTAATTTATATTTGTCCATGCAAGACAGTAAAAAGCGAATTAAGCTTTCTTTTAAACAACAAAGTACAATACATTGTTGCTGGGTTTTTTAAAGAATATTATTGTAAGCGCGTTAGATTAAGCCGCCCCCTTCACGTGTTTTTTTTTAAATTAATGCTTTACTGAAGGGTAAGTCTTTTTAATTATCATTAGTAATAAGTTATTATAGTAGAATAGCTTTGTAAAAGTGATAAGTTGATTGCAGGTTGAATGGCTTGGCCGAGGGAGCTAATGAAGCTTGTGGTGTCGGTGTAGGTGGAGGTGAAGCGGGCCGAGCCTAGGGATGGCAAACCACAAACATCTGGTCAGTGGGGGAGCAGAAACATGCCCGCATCTAATGGCTGGGGTGGGCAACCCCCCTCTGCTCCCTGGCAGCAGCCTGGTGGCTATGCTGCACCAGGTAACGTGTTCACCCGATAATCCCCCCCCCCCGACACGGCTTGCAAATTTAATTGGGTGTGGGATGGCTGCGGTTGTCTTTGCTCGGGTAACAACGTTTAGATGACGGTATGTTATGCAAGTCGAAATTTTCTGGGCACGTTTGTCTTAAAAAAATATTTCACAATTGAACAGGCAAAATAAAGTAATCATTTCAGTGTTAATTGTGAAAAGGGGCAACCGTTAATAGATTGTCCTTTAAAGTTGAGTGTATATTTCAAAATTACACTAAGCTAATTGTTAACTTTTGTTTGTGTGCAAAGGAATGTGGATGGCATCTCCCCAACCTATGGGTGAGTCTCTTGATGTCCATGATAGATTCTATACATTATGTAATGCCAGGCACTTTGCTAAGCAGTTGCCTTGCCCATGCGTCTGCACCGCCTCTGAATTATGAGCGCTTGAATATGGACTTTTCCAAATGTTGACCCCATATATGCTAAGCTCAGGGTGCACAAGTGTTATCTCGGTGACCTTGGGCCATAAACTTAGTCGGCTCAGCTCTGGATTGTCCTCTATAATGTGGCTGAGCTCAGGCTTGAGTGGTGCATCCATGGAATGACCTTGGGCTCAACTCATGAATATCCTGAGCATGGCTAATGACCATGCTCAGATCTAGCTCAAAAGTTAAAGCATTGCTTTGAACCCGCTCACTCGGAGCCAGAGCTGGGCCGTGACTAAAAATATGGACCTAAGTGTTCATTTGTATACGTGCTGCACTTATTCTGGCCTAATGCACACGGCCCTTTCCGATTGCTGTTGCAGGAGGGTTTGCTGCTGGACGAGGAGCGCCTGCCACCTTTAACCTGTACCCTGCCCCTCCCCCAGCTCCAGCCAGTTACAACCCCCCACCCCAATCGCAGGCCTTTGGGCAGGGGGCGTACTCGCAAGCGCCACAGTACGGTGCGTACCACCATCGTCCGGCACTCACAAATTCACTCCAGTCAACTCGTTCACTCACAGTTGCCTCATCGCTCGGATCTGCCAAATTAACCGTTTGATCTCATGCTGTCTACCATACTGCATGTCACCAACTCGCTCACACTTCCTCTGACTGCGATTGCAGGTCAAACCTTTATTTCTCATTCCCTCGTATTCTGCGACTTATTACCTTGCCCAATTCAAATAATGTGTTGACGCTCTTCTATTAAGGCTTCGTGATAGTGCTGTTTGGTGCTGGCCACTTGACGTAACAAAAAAAATATCAAAATCTGCCCACCGTGTTCAACGTGGCTGTGTTTCAGCTTTACAGAATGCTGCTTTGTGACACTTAAATGGAATTTGTGTTCTCTAAATTATTTGAGGCACCATTTTACGTATTTTAAAGCAAAAAACTGGGGGGCGTGCATCTTATCCTGGTAGGTGTATATGTGACCAGATTTTTTTAAATGACTTGACACAGCCAAGGTTTGGAGTACATGTTTCTCACGCATCTTTATCTTATAAAGAACACAATAATTACCTTTTGAAAGTCGCTGGATTTTCATGTTGCACTTGGCATACATTCTGCAATTGAGCTGTGGTGAATTTCAACAATTGGTGTGAATCATTTGCACCGATATCCCACAACATGTTAATGATGTAGGTACGATCTATTTGCCTTTGTGTTGCCTGTTCATTTGTCCTGTAGTGAATGGAGTGTCAAAAAAGGCAAACACTAAATCTTGCAATGGAATATATTTTGCAGTTCAGCACTTTGTTTTGAACTCTTGATTTCAGCAAGAACAACTTACACACAGGCAGTACCCGATAAATTTCTGTAACCCGAATTTTCCGTATGTCGGAAACTGAACAATTTTCCCCCCAAATTAAGATAAAATCCTATATTCGGAAATAGTTGTGCCTCCTCTACCCTACCGATTTATCTCTGCTGTATAGTGCTGCCATCCGTTTTCTATCGGTATCGTATCACTACATATACGCTCTGCACTTCCTATGATTATATAATTTGATCGAATATCTACCCCAACACTACCCATGATTAAACTAATGGAACATACTGTACTGTGTCCAATTGTTTATGAATACTACGAAGCATAGAAAACAAACAATTATGTAATGCTACAAAAGGAAGAGAGACGATGTGGCACGTGGGTACAGTATACTCACGGTAACAATGTAACGGAGTGACTCAAGAGTAATATACCTAAGCAGATGCTCATGTCCAAATTGTATCTTTGTTATAATGAATTAATCTTGTTTACAATCAGCCAAATTATTTTGCTTCCTGAAACTAGATTTTGATACCAACTGCGTTTTGTTTACCTGTATAGTAAAACCTTGGATTGCGAGTAACTTGGTCTGCGAGTGTTTTGCAAGACGAGCAAATTTTTTAAATAAATATTAATTTGATAAACGAGTGAGGTCTTGCAATACGAGCAGTACGTATACACTTTGTCTGCCGAGCGTCACGTGATCACAACTGATATACGAGTGCTTTGGATTACAAACACGTTTCCGGAACGAATTATGCTCACAATCCAAGGTTTTACTGTAATTAGCGTTGTCTTTATGTAAATATTGAGCTGTAATAGGCAGTGCATCATTCTGTGATGACTTTGTGTTCTGACATTGTCGCTGACAATGGTAACCCTGACCATTCTGGATTTTTAGTCCGAGAATCCAGTTAACGTCATTTAAAATTATTAATTTGGACTCCATGTCCATTTTTTCATAGAGCTTATTTTGGAAAATGTGTTTTGTCCCTGTTGGCTGTGAACTCTTATAGACCCCTCTCATGCCAAGATGAAAATTAAGCCTCATCTCTAGTTCTTTTGTTTGCATTGAAATCTCTATTAAGATGATGTAGTGTGTTTTGGCCCTCAGAATTAGGCCAATTCTTACAGTGTAGGGCATAATAACCTCTAAATTATAAAGCGCCTTTCATATTGAAGCGTGTTACAGTGCTGTACGTAAAAATAAAGCTCCGCACAAATATTGATAAAATGATCAGCAAAATAGCTGATAAAAATATCAATGACAAATTACCTTTTAACCTGAAGTGGTTTGAGAACCTTAATTTCAGTCCAAAAATTCTGCTCGTTCATAGTTAATATCATCTACGGTAGAAAATATTTCCACTAATTACATGTTATGGAGTTCTCTCCTTTTCACCTGCCCCAGGTCCAACTATGTCCCAAGTGTATGTCCCCCAGTTGTCTCCTGTTCAACAAGGTTTGATTCACCGGACTAGAGTGACTTTGAGGTCCATGATTTTTAGGCCTTTGATCTTCATCGCCACACCGGGGTCTACCCTGGTGGTAAATGTAGCACACTTTTTCAACTCTTGAGAATTTTTACTGGTTGTGGGTGTGTGCCTATCCTGGCACAGGCTCCGTTGGTGACATCACCATCACTTAATAGCGAATGATGGGTATTGGTAATTGGGTGCCAATCCAGTATAGTTACTCAGCTCCTCAAACTTCGTAAGGTTTTGTCACCATGTGCCTATCCACGAAGAGAATGTGCCATATCACCTGCTGTTACAATGTCGTATTCTATTGTGTGATTTGCAGGCCTCCCAGCTGGGTTCCCCGGCTACCCGCAGCCCGCCCAGCCAGATCAGTTTGGGCCTCCGGCTGTTCCGCCCCAAGCTACCGGCCCACAGCATGGTCAGCTGGGCTTCCCTGCCCCCCAGAGCCAAAATCCCAACGCAGACATTGTAAAGCCCCCTAGCGACTACCCCACCTTCAGCCAGTTTGGTGAGTTAATTGCCACAACCCACAAAGCACTTGTGGTTGAGATTCTCAGTAGGGCCCCACGAATTGGAAAAAAAAGAAACGACGCATCCATTCCTGTGTAACGTGACTTGTGAAAACCACGTAGAGCGGACGCCAATGTGGTGTTTCACCCACGTGCCAGGATGTGCTGTTGCGAATTTACATTTCCAAAGTATTAATGTGCAGTTGATACATTATGCTGCAGTAGTGAACTATATTCAGCGTATTTATTCGAAGGTGGGGGGGGAAATATTTTAACCTGTGTGCAACAATTTTGTTGTGCTCTGCCCTTGTGTTACCCATTTATTTACTTGTTAATAAATGAGGCGTCAAACAGGGCAAATATTATATTCTTGGGCTTATGGTGTTTGGGTTGTGAAGCACCCACATACAAAGTAGCCGCAAGAGTACATTTCATTTTTACACAAGTATATATTTTGAAGCTAGTATTGCATTGTGGAAACTCGCTTAAATATTAAATCATGCGTTGTGTACAATGGACAACTTGTGTCTGACAGATGCACGCAAAGCAAAAAGTCCATGAGAATGGAGTACAATCTGTGCACACAGGATGGAAACCTATTTTCTGTACTTGCCATTTAATGGTCGATTTGAGGTGATGCAGGTTGGATGTCTTGTACATGACGATAATCTGCTTGCCTATAGTGCTGGATTGGTAAGCACGGTTGGCTACGTCCGGTGTGAAAGAAGGTCAAATATACACGTGCGCACACCTTTTTGAGAAAGCATTGGAATTGTGAAGTGATTTTGGTGGTACATGCTGTGTGTTTGGCCAGGTATGGGTAACTATCCACAGGACCCATCAGGATATGGCCCCACGCGTCCCACCCAAGCCTACAGCCAAAACGAGCAGAGTTTTGGTCCCACAGGTAAAATTCTTGTAAAATGTGCCCCTGTTTTATACAAATGGCTTATATACTGGCTACACGTTAGTTTTTAATCTTTTGTTTAAACTCATGCCTTTGAGCTTGCTTACATCGCTTCAAAGTGTGCAGCTTTCCATTTTTTTCCCGATAACAGTTCACGATGAAGAGTAAAGGGGGTTGCTGTTTGATGCCGCCCATGCTTTGTGTTGTGTTTCGACACTTGCTGTGCTTTTCCCGACCTTTATGAAGCACTCCCCTGCCTTTTGAAATGAAATTCCATTGGGTACGCAACATTTCCATGGAAATAAATCATCTCAAGATTATAATTTAAGATTAATCGAACATCGGATCAACTATTGCTAAAATCACCAAATACACAAGATGTTGAAATTGTTACTGCCTTTTTTGTTTTGGGAACATTAAAATAAAAATCAACCCTTCCCCCCCCCCCCCCACCACTAGGCAACAGGATGATTTGTATCAGGCCTGTGTTCACATTGGTGGCATAGCAAAGTGAACAGCAGGTGTATTCGGCTTCGCCTCGTGAAGCTGGTTCACATGCTGTCCTACATTTACGCTTGTTAAACGTAGCCCTTACCCGCGTGCCGTTTCTATTTTGCCACATACCCTTAATTGCCGAACCTGCCTTTTTTTTGTGCGTGTGTGGATGGTTGCGTCTAGGTTACGGACAGGAGCCAAACAATTACAGTCAGGCACAGGGCTTTTCTGATCCCAACCAGCAGGCACAAGGCCTGGTAGCCGGTGGCTACGGACGAGGCCAGAGCCACCCGTTCCACCCGTACCGCCGCTGAACACCACCTCCCCCCCAACAAACAGTGCTTCACCCCCAAACACCAAAGCTGTCTGTCTTGGGTGTTCCTCAGTTTTCTCGACTTGCGACAATCACTTTCTCTGGTTTATGACGGCGGAGGTCTGCCGCATCTATTTTTTGAAATGACATTCCTCTACACTCTGGGAAAGAAACTGCAAGACTTTCCTCCCTTGTACTCTACCCTCCTTTTTGCGGTAAATTTAAAAGAACTGTGCAATTGTAATAGAAAATAAAATTTTACTAGTTGCAAACAGATCTGGTTTATATTTAGTGTGTAATGCCTTTGTTTCAATAAAAGTAAAACATTTTTACTGTGACTGCGTGTTTCATTATACATTTCTTTTGTCAGGGGTGGGTGGTGGTACTGTTGCAACTTCTGCGAGCATCATACTTAAAAAAAATACTTATTGAATGCTTATATTCAATTAAAAAAATAAGATGGTTATCACGAAACTTCACCTTTTGCGATCGATTCTCCGTTTTGCCAAGCCGTGACAATGCTACTCAACTGGTATCTGGATTTTCCGCCCTATATTTCTCACCGATTGCCTTCTAGGCTACACACCTCCTTGGCATGCACAACTTGCCACAACACCCCACAGCGAATGCAGTACAGCCCAACTCGGCACTATCCACACTGACCATCGGCAAATCATGTCAATTGCAACCGTCAAGTTGGCTCGACTGGCTAAGGAAGAGTGGATTCCCGTATCCCCTATTGGGGTTCGTCATTTTGTTATATGCGTTTCATGAAATCGCTTAGGTGTTCACTATTTGCCTTAATGCATTCGGAGAGTGATGTCAATTACAACTTACCCACTCGTCACACCACGCCAAATACCGCACTCTCGCTGAACCACTGCACACGCATCACTTAATGCTTTTAAATAAACTTCATTAAACGTCGATTTAAAGCATTCGTGAGTTGCAAGGAGTCATCTTCTTTGGTTCTTTCGGTAAAGTCACAGAATGAGAATATAATAAAAATCTCACGACGTTTAGGCCACAACACAAGTGGCCTTCATCAGGTGAAGGCCACTTGTGTTGTGGCCGAAATGTGATAATTTTATTGTGTTATTTTATTCTCATTCTACGTGACTACCGAAAGAACCAAAGAAGATTCATTTAACGTGTTTCTGTATGTGTAGGTGGGTAAATACAAACTGGTGGCTAATGCATTTTGAGAAAACGTTAGCACCAATCCATTGTTTTGAGCGAAAGAAGTGAACTGTCCGCACATGAACTGGGTTTTATAATAACCGCCGCTCGTCAAAGTGGCGGTAACGTCACCACGAGGATTGTGCCAAGCTGGGCGCAGTTTGGGGCCACGTCGAGTGTCGAAGGCTCGCAGTTGACTGCCTGGGGCCTAAAACAAATGGCCATGGTTTATGAAAAAAAAAGTCAACAATATATCTTTAATATTTATATTGCAAGGATAGGCACAGTGTATGTATAAAGAGGCAGAGTGGTGTAAATTTCAATATTTTGTTCATAAGGTGAGAGAAATGAACATTCAACTGTGGAAAGTTATCACGAAAGGCCTACGAAACAAGTGCCTCGACCCTACAAGAACCTTAATGCGGCCCTGCCTAGGCGTTATGGGTTGACTGAGATAACTGCCAGATGCATCACCTGTGCTGCCCGCTGTTACAAACACTCTGAACCACGGGCATAGCCATCAATTTACAATTTAGGTGGAGGGATGGGGGGGGGCGAAATGGATTTGCAATAGGGCGGAGGGCATGCAGCGGATGTTTAGGTGAAGCACTTTATCTGACGTCAAAATAAGTCCAGAATATGACAACCACAAGGCACACATTGTTCTGACATTTAGCGAATTTCTGCCCGTGGAGGCTGAGCAATGTGGTTTGCTCCCCCTGGTGAGTGACAGTGAGTCACGTGCCATTGACGATTACGTTTGCGGGCCGCACTTTTTCTTCATTGGCAAAATTGTCACATTGATAAGGAAGAACAATCAGAATATGGCAGCAAGATGTAACCACTGGGACATGGAGCAAATCGTTTTATACATATAAACATTACAGTTATCTAATCGTTGCAAAGGTGGAGATAAAACGGCCCTTTTTGTATAATTTTTTGTAGCATTCTGAGAATGTTGCAGTCGCATAGCCGCGACACTGAACATTCAGCCTCAGTTGTAGCGACATCTCCGTAGAGGGCCCATGCTGTGCCCTTAACCCGTCTCTCAGGTCCGGTGGTCAAAATCCTAGACGTGAATTGTACGGAGCAAACGTGTGTAGGTAATCCACAGATTACCATCAGGTCAGTGCCGGATTAAGCTAGTGCGGGGCCTGTAGCATATGTTATAAAGGGGCCCTAAATAAAATAAAAAAACACGTAAATATTAAAACATTTTTTTTGCTTTCATAGTAAAGCAATTGTATTTTTTTCTTTGCTATACAGCCAGATAATACGACAAATCGCTAACCTTAAACACCCAGCCGTTCATAAAAGTTGAAGGCAGTATAGTACTATAGTAATAGAGCAAGTGCAAAATCACTGAACCGGAATTTGCACTCGTTGAGGAGGCCGCTCTCCTTTTCTACAGTCACATGCTAATATCTCACATTAACACCATGCTAATTTCTCACATTAACATTATGCTAATCCCTCACATTAACATAGCCACTTCCGTGCCCTCGTTTAGGAGGCCCCTCTCCTATCTGACAGTTACATGCTAATGTCTCACATTAACATCACTAACCCCGGCCACTGCTTTATAACCCTTGAGCTACACCCATTTCAAACCTTTTAAAACAGTCTGCCTCAGCAGCAGACCATGCTTTCCCACCTGATGATGGACGCTTGTGTTGCGCCCGAAACGTCGGAATTTATTTTATTTTATACCTACGTGACTTTACCGAAAGAACCAAAGGTTACGGAATTGATAGCTTGAAAGCATTTAGCGCGGGGCCCCTTGAAAGTGGCACCACTACTATATGGTGGCACTGTTGTGGTTCACAGTGGCTAATTCCCGTGTGTAGGTGTGTGGCCGGCCGATACTTGGAGGACCACACACACAAGTCGGGGGATTTATTGGTACAACGAGGCCCACGGCGCAGTTTCTGGCTTGCCTTCGGCGAACGATCACGCATCCACGTGCGAATTCGTTCATTCAATAATTTGTTCACGAGTAACAGAAGCAGCAGGGGTTGCTCGCAGTGGGAAGGTTGCGAATCCAAATGCCGCTTGGGGGCATTGACCCAACCCATCAGCCTTCCTTGGTCGATGTAAAATTGGGGCTACCACTTTGTGGGGAAGCCAACAGTGGTTGTGCTATGGATAGACTCGACCCCGCCATATTAATGTGGAATTTCCCACCACCGGCTCCGCAGCGCTGTAAACAGAGGATAAGCGTCAATGTTTATTTAAGCAAGGAACGACTTTTACTTTTTTCTAACTTATATTTAAATGATGATCATATTATTATTGGGCCTTTAGCTGCTTGGCCTCAATGTCCCTGGTTACACAATTCAATCGAATGCATTGTCTGTTGAACTTCTTTCGCACCGTACGTAGCCATCCATACTAACCGGAAGTGCATTAATCACATGAATAGCGATTAATGGAAGCATGAATCCATTTGCTATTTAAACGATTTTGTTTTACCAGCTTCTGCCCACTGAGCTATTAGCTATTTTTTCAGAAGCGACCTGGCCACAAATGATAGCCCAACGAAGTGGCTTATTTATCATCACGTGGAAATGTAATTCGTGCAGTTGATTTGGCGTTTTGTCGTTAAAAAACCGCACGTCGTGAGCAGCTCTTCGTGAATTTACATTTCTCAGCATTGCATGTAAATTTATATTGTGCTCAGCTGTTACATTAACTCTACTTTTATCAGACGCGTCAAAGTGTTTGCGCTTTGCCATCGACACTACTCGAGAATGCACACGGTAACTCTGAATTATCCGAATTATAAGACGTTCCTGAAAGTCATCATCATCATCATCATAGTTTATCCCTCGCAATCGAGGATGATGATTTTCTTCCTTAGGACAGTTGGATTATCTGTGGGTCCGAAGATGACTTAAGAGACCGCATCTGGAATCGACGAGATTCTGCCGCAGCTCGAACACACACGTGTCCAGAAAGAGTGGAACTGCATTCGTAAATCGGGCTGCGGCGTCGTGCCTGTATTTTGCTGTGGAGTTTCAAAATGTTTAGAACCTTGAAATCGACTCTCTTGTGAGTCTCCATCCGGGGTGTCGATGGAGCACTCCTTCGTGTTGGCCTTGAGGACATCCTTGAAGCGCTTTCCCTGCCCGCTTCTTGAACGCACTCAGTGCGCCACAATTCGCGGGATCATTCAGAAGAAGAAGAAGAAATCTCCCCCCCCCCCACCCGCACCGAAATTTGCCAGCAAAAAAAAACCAGAGCGTGCCAAAAAGAGCAGGGAAAAAGTTGGTGTAATACTGTACGTGAACAAGTTACAAAACACGGACACCAGGGGTAAGCGAGGTGTGTGTCGTATTTGCATCGAGTACTTGCAGCAATTTATATAAGTTGTCTCTTTGTGTATGAGGCTTACGCCTCATAACAAGCAAACCGTCCGTTAATGCGCTTCGCAATGGGTCCCCGCTCATCATCATCGGCTCATTGTTCCGCTCATCATCTCATGGTTCCGCTCATCAGCATCATCATCTCATTGTTCCGCTCATCAGCATCATCATCATCATCTCATTGTTCCGCTCATCAGCATCATCATCGCCTCATTGTTCTCGCATCTGGAGGAAGTTCCTCCGCGCCTGCACGGCGGCAGAGTCATGCCGCAGGTGCTGCTGCTCATCAGACCCTTAATTGGGCTCTCATCCCAGCCCCCCCCCCCCGCTCCGCCACCCCCACCTCAACGGAGCCCATTAAAGTCGGGTGGTGGGTAGCTTTCTGGTGGTAGCTGGCGAGTGCTTTGGGGATCGAGAGGCGCGTGGCTGTGTTTGTTTGGTGCGGGTGGTATAGATTGTGTTTTTTCCTCCACCGTCTTCTGGTTCCTTTCGCGACAATCGCAGAGCTATGGAGGAGCAGTCGAGGATGACCCAAACGTCCCCGGGAGTCGGCCACAAGAGCACAGTGGGTCGTGGTGGTGGTAGTGGTGGTGGTGGAAACTGCTGCTGTGGTTGTCGCTCCCCCCCCCCCCTCTCTCTCATATTGCGCCGCGCGTTCACGCGGTGGGGTCCTGCACGATGGCGGGTCCTGCTCCCCGGTCGCGTTCACGTGGCGTGTTCTGCCCGGGTGCGTTCACGCGGTGGGGTCATGCCGTGTCGTGCGGACGTTGAACTTCATTTTTTCACCGCACGTACCCCGACCGTGCTAATCGGAGGTGCGGGGGGAAGGACCACAAACTAAACGCGCAACGCACGTGTGTACATCATGTACATGGAACGGCTCTTGTCGGTCCACTGCTGGCTGAAGCCCTCCCCACACGTTCGGATCGTGGGTGGGGGAGTTGGTTGGGTGGTATTGACCATACTTCGCCACCACGCTGCGTCGGTGCGGTTTGGTGAAGGCTGGAAACGCGATTGCAGTCCACCGCCGTATTGTGCTGGGCACTACTTGATTCCCATCAAGGTAACCCGGTGACCAGCCCTGCGCGTGGCTTGTTTGACGGTCGCCCATCCATTCCAAGCGCTGTCCAGGCTCTAACCAGCTTGGCTTGCGAGGTCTGGCGAGACGCGGGCGCAACACCCCAGATGCGCGCAAGTTTGACACCGGGCACGGGTTGGAGCTAGGTGGTGAGGTGGATGCTGCACGGCCACCGTAAATGAGGCTCTCCTTTAATGGTATTCGAAGTTGTTGGACCTTACCAGCTACGTACAGCTCGACTCTCGCGTGTCCCATTTTTATTTTTTACATTCTTTCAAATATTTGACGCGTGATAGCTTCGGCCATTCATACGCCGTCTCGTGTGACGATTCATTTTTTTTTTCAAACCTGTACAGGTTCCGCCGATCCTGGGCTCTTTAATTTCGATGCTTTGAATTTTATGCAAGCCACCCGCTCATTCGGCTCACCAAACGTGATTTAATTTTGGGATCAAAATATTTGATTTTATACTTTAGAGTGCAAAGAAAAGTGTACGCAATGGGAAACTTTTTTTGCCTGCTCTTATTTTTTTATTTTCATTTGTGGCTGGTCCAAGGCGTCTGCGATATCCGTTGGCCCGCATAAGACGCCGGTTTTAGTTGCGAGGTCAGCCCCTTTGTCCCATCTATCCTGGTGGGAATTCTGTGGGAGGCGTCCCAAATAGAGGCGTTTCTCTCTCGCGTGGTGCGGGAGGTGCTGCGGTCACACCGAGTGAGTGGTAACCCCCCCCCCCCCCCCACCTCTGGTCTCGTGCTTTCCCGCAGCAAACGGTGTCCCGGCGAGGACTCTGCAGGGCTACGGTGGAGATGCTCTTCTCCGTCTGGCCCTTCCGATGGCTGGTGAGAGCGTTTCCCTCGCCACCACCACCGCTCTGCCCACGGCGGGGGGGGGGGGTGTCGGGCTGTCCTCCGCCGAGGCCTTGTGAAGCAATAGTCACGCGCTCGGGTCGGCAAGCTTCGGCTCTTTAAGGACCGCTTCCTGGCTCTCGACACGACAATTCCAAAGTGGATTTGCATTTATTTTCGATAACCTGTGAGCGTCTAAAAAGCCCGACGACTTGTAATGCGGCATTACGAATCGTTTTGCGTGCGCGGTTCTTAAATGGCGATTACAAAGTGGTTTAGCGTTATTAATTTGGGGTCCTGTCTCTTATTCCCAAGCATTAGGACTCTCCAAATAGTTTACAAAATTGGAAGCGTTTGTTTTTGCCTACCTCCGCACTAGCTGTACAACATCACTGCTGTCTCCCTAATCCGAGAGGGCATATGCATCCGTACTGCTGGCATACTCAATCACCCTCGCCTCCTTTACATTTTTAAAGCAGAAATGCTGGATGTGTGACCAGTGTTGGTAGGTGTGTGGCCAAATTTGTGTAACACTTGCCACCAGTTACAACCTGGAGAGGTACGCTTTCATTCGCTTCCAGGCACAGAATAATATCGCTGGACGAGCGTATAGCAGGAAGTAGACCAGTGCTGCCCTGTACCGCACGCCGTTAGACGATGTTCAGCGCTGTGTGGTTATGATGAAGCAACAGAAAAATGAGATTCGTTGGAGGCCTGCCTTGAAATGTCAACCACGTGGTATTGAAGTTCTTTCGCACCGTACGTAGCCAACCGTGGTAATTTGAGGTGCGGGGCGGACGGCAAACTAAGCATAGAAATCCGTTCTAAAGAAATTTGGTCAATCTGGATTTAACAGCGCATAGCTCCAGTGGCTTCCTAATATCGGAAGGAAGAGTTCCAGACGGCTGAAAGCGCACGGCGTGGTGGCAAAGTCGTCCGTTCGACGGCCAGACGCCTTCACGGCCGTGGCACGTCCCAGACGTGGGGAATTTCTCATTCCACAGTCGTGGGCGAGTGGGTCAACACCACAACCCAGGTTCCACGCGGAGTTTCTGACCGACCCAACGAGCGTTCGATGTTCTGGCACAGGGCGCCCTCCTGGAGCAGTTCTGCGGCCTGCTGCTCAGGTTCATGGACCTCGTGGCCCCCGACCCGGCCGCTCCCTGCAGGCGACCGAGCCCCACGGCGCGGCGCAACCGCGAGGGCCGCAAGCGCGCCTCCAGCGTCGAGCAGGTTCTGAGCCGCGTGCTGCTGGTGGGCCTCATGCGCTCGGTCGTCGGGATGCCCAGCGTGGCCTCGTTTGGCACGCCGCTGCTCTACAGCCGAGGCGAGTGACGCCTCGTTTTTTTTTTTGCTTTGTACTTAAAACTAAATTGAACAGAAAAATGTTCTACCGGGGGTATAGACCACCGAGCTTGGTTTCTTTTTAGAAGCGACCTGGCCACATGATGGCTCAACCAAGTGTGGCTTGTGGATATTTATTGCAGCCAAATGCACTCCATGCATGTTGATTCTAAATGTGGTAGTGGGGGCGTGGAACCGGAGGTACCCGACGACGGAGCCACACAACCACGGAGACGCGCAAACTCCAAAAAAATACAACGGGCTTCATCAGGATTGAACCCACGACCTCCTGTACACCAGGCGAGGGTAGTTGCCACCGTGGCGCCCGTGTGACTTTGTTTAGCCAGGAGAGCCACCACAATCTCGGAACTCTTATTTTATTATTCGTTTTACCCAGAAACGAGCCTCGCTGAGTTTCGGGTGACTTTTTTTTTTCGGTGGGATCCTGCCACGTTGTTTTCTTTTACAGGTAGGCGTGCGATTGTTCCGACGTGTTCTTCCAATCGGTTCCTTTTGCAGCCAATGTTTCTCCAATGTTTTTGGGGCCAATACCAGCCACGTTAGGGGGTTTGAGCTATGGGAAGAAAGGGGAACCTCAGAGAACCCGTGCAGCACAGGGGGAGAGCGGTCCAGGATTTTGGGCCCCAAGATGCCCCCCCCATTCCCTGCTGCGCAAGGTTTTTAACGGCAACAGCGGCAGAATCGCCGTGGGCTGCGGCTCGTAGACCGTGCCCATCGGGGTCCGTGAAGGCCAGCACTGCTCGGCAAGTAGCGACTGAGCCGATCTGAGGAGACGCTTGTAGCCAAGTAGGCGTCGTTTGTAACTCCTGAAGGGTCGTGTCACTTCGGTGTGGGGGAAGGACAAACCTAAATGCAGAACTGCCTCGATGTTTTTGTATAGTTTGTCCTTCCCCCACAACTCCCAATTTTAGCGCGGTTGGCTACGTACGGTGCCTCCCCTGTGATCGGTATCCGCTGTGATTCGTCCTCGTATGTACGTGTCCCCCCCCCAACCCATATCCCATGGTGTCTGCGCGATCTGCAGGCTTGGGCAAGTCGCCCAACAAGCAGGATGGGAAAGGGCGCAAGCAATCTGAGCTGCTCCAGATCGACGAGGACGAGAGTGACGCCAGTGGAGAGGGCGACCTCTCGGACGCGAGCAGCTTCAAAGCTGAAGATCTCCTCCCTTCTGTGGTAAGAAGAAGCTGGGTTTTTTTTTCTTTTGTGGTTTGGTCCGAAGGGGTTTGAGGCTGTCTCCTGGTGGCTTTGGGCTGACGATCGTTGCTATGAGGCGAGTGCCCCCACCACACCACTCCCCTGAATTATTGGGAATCACCGTCCCGGTGTCCGTGCTGGTCTATTCCCCCGTGCAGATGGGGAAACTGACGGCGATTTAGTCCGCTTGCATTTTACCGCCTTCTGGCGAGCCCAGGGTATGGGACCCTCCTCGACTCGCACCGGAAGGGAAGTTTCAAAACCTCGCTGCCTCCACAGTGCTGGATTGCAGGTCTGCATCTTGTCGGTTTTGCTGTGGCAGTGATATTGACGAATATGTACTTGTTGTTCTACGCCAATGCAGTTTTCTCCAAATGGTTGTTTGGATTGAAGTCTTTCGGTTGCGACCCATCCGGACAACTGTTTACAGTTGTCGGCTTAGGAAGAGATCCCATTGGGGGGGGGGGGGGGACGTTCTTGAATTTTGTTCCTGCTATGTTGCACTGTTTGACCTGTGACCTGACACTCCAGTAGGAATTGCAGACCGCAAAGGGCCAAGCATTACATTGGGGTGTGCTCTCTGAACGTTCATATAATTTTGCGTCTGTTCTTTTTACATGGGGCTATCTTAAGATTATTTGGCAATTTTGGGTGATGTTAATTTATCGTCATTCAGTAACTTTCAGGTATTTGTTTCAATTTTGGGCAAACACTTTTTCAGTTGAGGAAATCGGAACCCGAAAAAAAATCCATGTAGAACAGGAGGGCAAAAACGTACAAAACTGCACACAGGTGCCCAGAATTTGAAATTGAACCAGGCCATTGTGGCGAGGCATGATGGTGTTACCACTGCCACCCTCGCATCGTTTTGTCAAAGGACAATGTCTGATTTGAACGCATGGACGTCTGATACACCTGCTGATGCTGATTCCCCATCTGATTGAAATCGTTGCTTGACGGGCAGATGGACGATTGATGGGTGACCTATGCAGGATGTATAAAGTTTCGATTTAAAGCTTTCGTGACTGCAAGGATTCATTGTCTTTGGTTCTTTCGGTAAAGTCACGTAGAATGAGAATAAAATAATAAAATAATAAAATGACACACTAAAATTCTTACGACGTTTTGGCCACAACAAAAGCGGCCTTCATCAGGTGAAGGGAGAGACTGGTCTGGAGGACAGCGCTGGAGCAAACACAGCCAAGCTCAGACCGCGACCTTTAAGCTGTGTGAGAAGAAACAGAGCGCCTTGACAAAGGAATTAGCATAACAATTAGCATTTAATTGGCGGACTTAGCATGGTGAACGGTGTAGAGGGGGTGAACATGTGCAGACCGGCGAGGGGGGGGAGGGGGAGTTTACATATTGATGGTGTGCAAAATGGAATTTAAGCTGCTGCGAAAGTTTGGGATACCACTACTTGAAAAAATATACTGTACCATTGAAAATTAGTTTAATGTTTGGTTCGGATAATTTAGCATTGAAATAGCTGCGTGATTAGCTTGTGACTGGTCACAAATGGCTATGTTAAAGTCAAAGGCTCTCCCCCTCCTCCGTTCCGACCATGGATGAACTCGTCCGTCTGAACGGGGCTCGTAGCTATCCGTGGTGCTAAAGTTGAGGGTAAGAATCCACCCATTTTTTTCGCCATATATCATTGTGATATATAACGACTTATTGTTGGTGGCTTAGCTGATTGGAGAATATATAGAGTTTATTGATAACATTGAGGTAGTTTATATTTTAGTTTTTTATTGGTTTCCTATATAGTATTCATTATATAGTGTAGTGTATACCCAGTTACTGTTAATAGCTCGGCTTATTGAAGAAACTATTGAGTACAGTTATTATATTGATGTAATTTAGACTTAGGTTTTTTCACATCGGTTTACTATATGATAGTTGAGTTGTTGCAGCCCCTTTGGCGTCCATGTACTAGGTGCCTCTGTGGATGTGTAGGCTTTGACTTTAACAGCCATTTCTGTGACCAGTCACAAGCTAATCACGCGGCTGTTTCAATGCTAAATTATCCGAAACAAACAAACTAATTTTCAATGGTACAGTATATTTCTTCAAGTAGTGGTATCCCAAACTTTCGCAGCAGCTTAAATTCCCTTTTCACACCATCAATATGTAAACTCCCCCTCCCCCCCTCGCCGGTCTGCACATGTTCACCCCCTCTACACCGTTTATCATGCCAAGTCCGCCAATTAAATGCAAATTTTTATGCTAATTCCTTTGTCAAGGCGCTCTGTTTCTTCTCACACAGCTTAAAGGTCGCGGTCTGAGCTTGGCTGTGTTCGCTCCAGCGCTGTCCTCCAGACAGTCTCGTCCCTTCACCTGATGAAGGCCGCTTGTGTTGTGGCCGAAACATCGTGAGAATATTGTGTTATTTTATTAATTTATTACTTTATTCTCATTCTACGTGACTTTACCGAAAGAACCAAAGAAGATGTGTAAAGTTAACCGAAATGCCATTTTAATCTTTTGTGACCCCGGCAGCTTCGATTTCCTGTTGTACAAAAAGCATCATTTGGCCTCATCCCCAGTCCATGAATATCTGTGGACGGCTTCCAATTCTGCTTTAAAAATTTCGCGTGTCCTTGGGTGCACCAAAATATTCCACCCAGCGTTGCAAGCGTCACTTTATTAATGGTTTGTCGTCGATGGCAATAGCTCGGACAAACTACAAAGTCCTTCGTGTTTTAACGCATTCGTACGCTCCAACTGCTTTGCATCGCTGCGCGCCGACCTTGTTAAACCCTGCGCACCGCTGTCCAGGGACAGGCGTCCATCGCCGAGAGCGCCACGCCGGCGAGCCTGGAGCTGAACGAATCTCGGGGCTCGACGATCGTGCAGGACACCAGCTCCGAGGATGAGGGCGACGAGAAGGAGCTTCGAAAAGCCACCCTGAGCGCCCTCATGGGGGACGACCTCCCCGATGAAGACAGCGTTGATGACCCAAGCTACGTGGTACTTTCAAAAAATTTCGTTTTGGGTTTCTTTTTACGATGCCCAGTTAACCCCCCCCCCCCCCACCGGGAAAGCCTCGCCTCCTTCCGGGTCTCGACGCATTCTTTTTTTCTAGGAGTCTTGCCAAGTTTTTTCAGCAGGGGGCAACGTTGCTGTGTCTAATGCCAATTGAGTAGCTTGTATTTTAATTTTTCAGCCTCGCAAATATTTAGCCCCAATACCACTTGCCGTTTACATAAATTTGTTAGCTAATGAGTGGTTACCGGTAAACTCGTGCAGAATAGGGCACATTAAAATGCTATGAACTTCTTTTGACACGGCACAGCCAACCGTGATAATCGGGAGGGGGGGGGGGGGGTTGGCAGGAACACTGCTGCCCTTGGCGTGAGGAACCCCACGTGACTCGTCGGCTCTCGCCAGGTGAGCACGTCGGAGACTCTGGACAGTGACGAGGTCGTGGACAGCGAGGCGTCGAGCGAGGCTTCGAGCGACCGCAGCGAGGCTTCGAGCGACAAGGCGGAGTTCATGAACGCAATGGCAGGTTCGTGACTCCTCCCTCCCCTCGTGAGCATGCAACGGCCCCTTCCACTGCTGAATGAGGGCCCCCCCCCCCACACGCCATGCAGATCCCGGGGTTTATTTGGCCATACTTCACCACACTGGTCTGTGGGGTGGGGGGGGTGTGAAGGCAGAGCCTAGTACAGCACGACGTTGCAATGCACGAGTGGTTGGCAATCCCAAACGCACTACCCTGGCTCAAACCCAGCTTGGCTTCTCTAATAGGATCTGGTGCAATTGCGTTCTGGGTGATCTGGTCAGGGAGGGGGGCACCCTTTGCTCACCTTCCCCAACTTCCAGTCGTGAGCCGAGGACCTCCCCGGTAGTGGTGGCATTGCCACAACGGTGCAAATCCAGAATTGCACTTTGCTTCACTGCTGCGCCTGATTTACTTTTTTCTAGTGTCATTTTGTCCAGTGTTTTTGCCTCCCGCCATCCCAAGGGTTAAATGGTTGACTCTTGTGTGTAGGTCTGTTGCTGATTTCAACCGACATCCTTGTGGTGGTGGGGCTAGCGTGGATAACGCCCACCTTGCGCAACTTTCAACAAGATTTTGTTAAAATAACGAAACTCTGCTAAAAGGACTTTCTGTACTGAACTTTCCTGCCCTCCTGGTTTTGGTACGGTGTCGTGACCACGTGCGATTTAACCCCATGCTGGATGGAATCGACAAGGATCCTACTGAATGTACATTGCACCTCGGCCATGTAACGTAAGAAAATACATTTCAATTGGTTGGCCTGATCAATCGTGTGGTCCCTGGCTGGATATATACTGAAAGAGTTGCATTGTTAACGCATCCGTGGGTGACTGAATGGCCTTGGCCATATGTCGGTTTTGAGTTCGATTCCAACGGTTGCCCAGCATTCTTCCGGCGAATTATCAAAACGTGACGTCTGGATGCATGTCATCACCTTATCACACTTGGGGCCATATTACATTGATGTGGGTCAAGTTGGAGATTACCGGATTCCTCCCATGCTTTTGTGGTAGTCACACTGTGCACATGCTACACAGTACTTACCAGTACGGGGTCATTGGTATCCCTGACCAAGACCCCGCCTGAGGGGTGGAGGATGTGAAGTGTGTGTGTGGGATCCCCCAGAACCCTGGTCCTAGACAAAGTGCGATCGAACAAACACAGATGGTTTGGGATTCCTGTGGGCCAACACCTCTCCTGAGTGGAGGGGGCTGCGAGGGATCTGTGATCCCTCGGAACGGGCGGGGGAATCGTATAAAAGGCGGGCTCCTGAGAGCAGAGGGAGTTGGTCTCAAGCCGAAGCCGGGGAGCCGCCTGAAGAAGAAGAGACCCTGGACCCCAAGCCCCGACGTCCTTCTGAGGGCCGGGGCTCAGTGCGGTGCCAGTGGTCTAGGCTAGGACCCTGAGGTTCCCTCAGCCGGGTCTGGACGGGCCAGTGGTCAGAGACCCACCGGTGCCAGCGGTGGGTCAGCCTCCCCTTGGTCCAGCTAGCCGGAGGGCTATAGCAGTAGTCGGGCCAACGGCTAGGGAACGATAGCCCGGAGGCTGTACCTCCTCAGGTTGTGGGTAGAAGGGGCCATTAGCCCGTCGTGTTAGGGACCTAGTGAGTTGTATTAAGATATAAATAAAAGTATTTGCTTACTACTACGACTGTCTCCATCTACGACTAATACACTTTAAAAACAAATTGGCCTGCATCTTGTAAACCAGTGAGTGTGGGGAGGGAAGTCAAAGTGTATTTAACTTTATTAACGAACTGGAACGAGTTTTAAGTGAAGTTTACTTGCTGGCGCGTCTTTTTTTACGAGTAATCTCAAACGTGTAATGTCAATGGTTAATTGTTTCCCGTGCTGCCCCGCGTCTCGTGAGAGGGGTGAGACGCACTAGCGTCTCGACTTCCTGCTGCTTGGATGTTGAAATTTTTAACGGAAACTTTTATATATTTTTTTGCGTTTTATCAGTTCCCGGCAGCGAGCCAGAACCCGAGACGGATGACAAGTGACCCCCCCCAACCCCCCCATCAGCATCGAATCGTCTCATTGTCCCAGTTCCCTGTAATGACGATGCCATTTTTAAATACCCCCCCCCCCCCACTCAATTTTTCGTCCATCCCTGAAATATTTGGTGCAGTGCCCCCCTCTCCATCACGGTCTTGCACACGTGGCATTAGCTGCTTTTTATCCCTCGCCCATCTTCTGTTCCGTCTTGGTGCCTCCGTTCTGAAATGTCGAAGCCGTTTAAATTCCTCGGGTGCAACAAAATAGTTGGTTCAAACTCGCCTCTTTGTACATATTGGGTACTTATGAAATGTGCAACCCTCCTTAGCCACCCCCCCCCCCCCCCCCAACGACGCCTTCCTTCATTGTCCGTAATAATTTGCCGTGGACTCGACAATGTTGGGAGGGGTTTACAAAGTTTCCCAGCGGTGCATCGCAGTGCGTGTTTTTTTTTTTAAAGAGCTTTGACTTCGTCCTCGTATCGACGTGTCCCCCCCCCCCCCCCACCCATATCCCATGGTGTCTGCGCGATCTGCAGGCTTGGGCAAGTCGCCCAACAAGCAGGATGGGAAAGGGAGCAAGCGCAAGCAATCCGAGCTGCTCCAGATCGACGAGAACGAGAGTGACGCCAGTGGAGAGGGCGACCTCTCGGACGCGAGCAGCTTCAAAGCTGAAGATCTCCTCCCTTCTGTGGTAAGAAGAAGCTGGGTTTTTTTTCTTTTGTGGCTTGGTCCCAAGGGGTTTGAGGCTGTCTCCTGGTGGCTTTGGGCTGACGATTGTTGGTATGGAGCGAGTTCCCCCACCACACCGCTCCCCTGAAGTTTTGGGAATCACCGTCCCGGTGTCTGTGCTGGTCTATTCCCCCGTGCAGATGGGGAAACTGACGGCGATTTAGTCCGCTTGCGTTTAACCGCCTTCTGGCGAGCCCAGGGTATGGGACCCTCCTCGACTCGCACCGGAAGGGAAGTTTCAAAACCTCGCTGCCTCCACAGTGCTGGATTGCAGGTCTGCATCTTGTCGGTTCTGCTGTGGCAGTGATAGTGACGAATATGTACTTGTTGTTCTACGCCAATGCAGTTTTCTCCAAATGGTTTTGTTTGGATTGAAGTCTTTCGGTTGCGACCCATACAGACAACTGTTTACAGTTGTCGGCTTAGGAAGAGATCCCATGGGGGGGGGGGACGTTCTTGGATTGTGTTCCTGCTATGTTGCACTGTGTGACCTGACACTCCAGTAGGAATTGCAGACCGCAAAGGGCCAGGCATTCCATTGGGTTGTGTGCTCTCTGAACGTTCATATAATTTTGCGTCTGTTCTGTTTTACATGGGAATATCTAAAGATTATTTGGCAATTTTTTAAGTTGGGTGATAATTTATCGTCATTCAGTAATTTTGAGGTGTTTTTGTTTCAATTTTGGGCCAAACCACTTTTTTAGTTCAGAGGAAATTGGAACCCGAAAGAAATCCATGTAGAACAGGAGGAAAAAAACATACAAAACTGCACACAGGTGCCCAGAATTTGAAATTGGACCCAGACCATTGTGGTGAGGCATGATGGTGTTACCACTGCCACCCTCGCATCGTTTTGTCAAAGGACAATGTCTGATTTAAACGCATGGACGTCTGATACACCTGCTGATGCTGATTCCCCATCTGATTGAAAACGTTGCTTGACGGGCAGAAGGACGATTGATGGGTGACCTATGCAGGATGTGTAAAGTTGACCGAAATGCCATTTTCATCTTGTGACCCCGGCAGCTTCGATTTCCTGTTGTACAAAAAGCATCATTTGGCCTCGTCCCCAGTCCATCAATATCTGTGGAAGGCTTGCAATTCTGCTTTAAAAATTTCACGTGTCCTTGGGTGCACCAAAATATTCCACCCAGCGTTGCAAGCGTGATCTTTTAATGTTTTGTCGATGGCAATAGCTCGGACAAACTACGAAATCCTTCGTGTTTTAACGCATTCGTACGCTCCAACTGCTTTGCATCGCTGCGCGCCGACCTTGTTAAACCCTCCGCACCGCTGTCCAGGGACAGGCGTCCATCGCCGAGAGCGCCACGCCGGCGAGCCTGGAGCTGAACGAATCTCGGGGCTCGACGATCGTGCAGGACACCAGCTCCGAGGATGAGGGCGACGAGGAGGAGCTTCGGAAAGCCAACCTGAGTGCCCTCATGGGGGACGACCTCCCCGATGAAGACAGCTTTGATGACCCAAGCTACGTGGTACTTTCAAAAAAAAATTATTTAGAGTTTCTTTTTACGATACCCACTTAACCCCCCCTCCCCCCGGGAAATCCTCGCCTCCTTCCTGGTCTCGACGCATTCTTTTTTTCTAGGAGTCTTGCCAAGTTTTTTCAGCAGGGGGCAACGTTGCTGTGTCTAATGCCAATTGAGTAGCTTGTATTTTTTCAGCCTCGCAAATATTTAGCCCCATACCACATGCCGTTTACATACATTTGTTAGCTAATGAGTGGTCACCGGTAAACTCGTGCGGAATAGGGCACATTAAAATGCTATGAACTTCTTTCGGCACGGCACAGCCAACCATGATAATCGGGAGGGGGGGGGGGGGACTGCTGCCCTTGGCGTGAGGAACCCCACGTGACTCGTCGGCTCTCGCCAGGTGAGCACGTCGGAGACTCTGGACAGTGACGAGGTCGTGGACAGCGAGGCTTCGGGCGACTGCGAGATGTTGCATGACGACAAGGCGGAGTTCATGAACGCAATGGCAGGTTCGTGACTCTCCCTCCCCTCGTGAGCATGCAACGGCCCCCTTATACTGCTGAATGAGGGCCCCCCCCCCCACACGCCATGCAGATCTCGGGGTTTATGTGGCCATACTTCACGCTGATCTGTGGGGTGGTAGGTGGGGGGGGGGGTGTGAAGGTGGAGCCTGGTACAGCACGACGTTGCAATGCACTATCCTGGCTCAAACCCAGCTTGGCTTCTCTAGTGCAATTGCGTTCTGGGTGATCTGGGCAGGGCCCTTTGCTCACCTTCCCCAACTTCCAGTCGTGAGCCGAGGACCTCCCCGGTAGTGGTGGCATTGCCACAACGGTGCAAATCCAGAATTCCACTTTGCTTCCCTGCTACGCCTGATTTTTTTCTAGTGTCATTTTGTCCAATGTTTTTGCCTCCCGCCATCCCAAGGGTTAAATGGTTGACTCTTGTGTGTAGGTCTGTTGCTGAATTCAACCGACATCCTTGTGGTGGTGGGGCTAGCGTGGATAACGCCTACCTTGCGCAACTTTCAACAAGATTTGGTTAAAATAATGAAACTCTGCTGAAAGGACTTTCTGTACTGAACTATCCTGCCCACCTGGTTTTGGTACGGTGTCGTGACCACGTGCGATTTAACCCCATGCTGGATGGAATCGACAAGGATCCTACTGAATGTACATTGCACCTCGGCCATCTAACGTAAAAAATAAACTGCAAGAAAATACATTTCAATTGGTTGGCCTGATCAATCGTGTGGTCCCTGGCTGGATATACACTGAAAGAGAGTTGCATTGTTAACGCATCCGTGGCCGACTGAATGGCCTTGGCCGTTTGTCGGTTTTGAATTCGATTCCAACGGTTGCCCAGCATTCTTCCGGCGAATTATCAAAACGTGACGTTTGGATGCAAGGCATCACCTTATCACACTTGGGGCCATATTACATTGATGTGGGTCAAGTTGGAGATTACCGGATTCCTCCCATGCTTTTAAAACAAATTGGCCTGCATCTTGTAAACCAGGTGTGGGTGTGGGGAGGGGACGGTAGTCACAAAGTGTATTTAACTTTATTTACGAACTGGAACGAGTTTTAAGTGAAGTTTACTTGCTGGCGCGTCTTTTTTTACGCGTAATTTCAAACGTGTAATGTCAATGGTTAATTGTTTCCCGTGCTGCCCCGCGTCTCGTGAGAGGGGTGAGACGCACTAGCGTCTCGACTTCCTGCTGCTTGGATGTTGAAATTTTAAACAGACTTTTTTATTTATTTTTGTTTGCGTTTTTTCAGTTCCCGGCAGCAAGCCAGAACCCGAGACGGATGACAAGTGACCCCCCCCCCCCCCCCCCCCATCAGCATCGAATCGTCTCATTATTGTCCCGGTAATGACGATGCCATTTTTAAATGCCCCCCCCCCACTCAATTTTTCGTCCATCCCTGAAATATTTGGTGCAGTGCCCCCCCCCCCTCTCCATCACGGTGTTGCACACGTGGCATTAGCTGCTTTTATCCCTCGCCCATCTTCTGTTCCGTCTTGCTGCCTCCGTTCTGAAATGTCGAAGCCGTTTAAATTCCTCGGGTGCAACACATTATTTGGTTCAAACTCGCCTCTTCGTACATGTTGGGTACTTGGTTATGAAATGTGCAACCCTCCTTATCCACCCCCCCCCCCCCCCAAAGACGCCTTCCTTCATTGTCCGTAATAATTTGCCGTGGACTAGACAATGTTGGGAGGGGTTTACAAAGTTTCCCAGCGGTGCATCGCAGTGCGTGTCTTTTTTAAAAAAGCTTTGACTTTCATGCTGTGCAGAAACTACAAAGCTGCCACTGTAAAAGTTTCCGGCAGTGTCTCCCTGCGTCATTACCCACAAGTTGTATTTAGCCAATTATGTCCTCGTGGCTTTTGTTGTATTGATGGTCTCTGGTTTGTTTAATCTTGTGCTTGATCATAGATGTGTGAAATAACGTTTGTGGGTAATTTAACGGTGGTGATTTATGAACTATTCAAGCCGTTTGTATAAAATAAAGCACTATTTTGTTTTTTCATGCCGCCTGATGTTTAAGGTGGTGCCTGGTGTCATTTCAGTCGGCTACGTGGTGGTAGAAACCAGATCCAAATTAAACTTGGGCCGCCTTTCTGAAACTAAATTCACACCCAAATTGCATTGGTTACCCGAGGTCTTTAAAACGTTTGTGGTTCTCACCCCCCCCCCCCCCCACGCATCTCCGATTTACACGTGGCTACGTACAGTGCGAAAGAAGTTCAACATGCGTGGCAATGTGAAATCCGAACGTTAATAAACCCTGCTACTACCGCAAGTAACAAAAACAAGGCCCAGTACCCGATTGCAAGAGCAGTCGGCCGACCTGTCGGTGACCCTGGCTTTGCTCTGATGCCGTGTTGCCTGCCGCCTGGAACTCCTCCGCCACCGTCCACCGGTGCATGAGTGCCGAGCCGGCGTGGGGGGCCCTACCGGAAACTTGACGTGCTCCCAACTGATGTCCGAGCCAGGGTTGTCATCGGGACTTCACCACATACTTTCTAGCCCCCCCCCCCCACCCACACCAATTTCATTGCTCCATCTTCCTTGAGTTTCATCATCACGTGGTCCCCCCCCCCCCCCACCCGCCTCGGTTTCACAATCCACGCGGCATGGCTCGAGTTGTTTCCTTGATGGCCCAACTTTCGCGAATCGCACTTTGCTATGCCTGGCTGGAGCCTCTGCTCCCCCCACCACCACCACCATTGCCTCCTATCCTAAAGTCTCCGTGACTTAATCCACCTCCCACCTTCTGTGCCTCTGTGGTGGCACGTGGCCCTGTGGAGGACCAGCTGCCTGTTGGGTGCGTTCGCTTCGTGCCTGCAATCCGCACCTCCCGTGAGTAGCACGGTTGGCTACGTACGGTACAAAAGAAGTTCGCAATCCCAGGGCTTTGGAAGCAAGCGTTGATGGATTTTGTAAATTTGTGAAGCGCTCGCTTGTTGGAAGTTTTTTTAACGTACCTGTAAGGCTCTGCCATTTCCTTGTATATGGGTTCTCTGGACACTCCTCCAGTTGAACCCGCATGCCTAAAACGATAGCAGTTTCCAGGATGAATCCAAACCGACTTCTTAGGAAAGTCCTTTGGGCCTCCCATAAGCCCTTCGTTACTCTGTTTTGCATGCCAAGTCGAGTGGACCGCCGCCACTCACCGCTGGGACCCTCGGCACCACGAGCTGGCGACGCCTCGTGCTTGCCTCCTGGAGGACCTTTTACACTTGTCACTCGATTGCGACTTTGTGCTCGGGGTACCCGGAAGTTTGTAGTGGGATTCCAGCAGCCCAGCCAAAGCCAGCCCTAGTTGCCAACCAGTAGCGGCTGGTTTACTCGACGCCTCGCCATTCGCAGCAGTGGTGTGATGTTAACTCCCTTGCCTGGCATGCAGGGGTCGTGGGATCAATCCTGACGCGTACTGTTTATTTGGAGTTTGCATTTTTTTTTTCCGTGGTCGTGTGGATTTATCCGGGTTTTCCCTCCGCATTTAGAAACCTGCGTTTAGAGTATTTGGCTGCTATTAATTTCGTTGAGCTATCATTTGTGATAGCCTGGTCGCTTCTGACAAAGACGGACCTCGCATCGCTTGGTGGACTGGCCAAATTAATACTAATATAGTTCCCTTCCTGCCACGAGTGTTGGCCCTCAAGCCCCACACTGCTACTGCACTGAAGCCCCTTCTCGCTCTTTCCGTGCTGTTTTTTTGGTTGCTCGAACAGGAAGCCACAGTGCAAATATGCGCGTTGATTGGTTGTTTTTTGGGGGCAGAGATTGCTACAGAGATCCATAAGCCACCGGTGGTGTTGGCTCAGACCAATGCGACTCGTGGCTGCTTGCGGTAGAAGCCAGGTGGCCACCCTAGTAAGTACTGAAGGCAGACACCAAGGAGTGGCAAACCGTCACGTGGACTCCGGTCATCCTCGCAGCGGCTTTTGGCTGCTGTCCGTCGAACAAAGACGGGCGGTCACCGCACAGTGCACTTTCAGATGCGCTTCTGCGGCCGTCTGGAACGCTCTTCGTTCAATTTTTTCGGAAGCCACTGGAAAACACTTCTTTAAAACTGCTTATTGTGTTTTTATTATCCCCACACCTCCAGATGAGCGTGGTTGGCTGTGTATGGTGTAAAAGAAGTTGCGGTACATATACAAAAAATACTGTACGCCATTCACTTTGCAGTAAACATTTGTCAAAAAACACCCCGATTTTATTCTAAAAAGACAGCCAACTGGGAATCTTAGAGCTACTCCCACCCCCTCCCCCTACTGTGAAACTGCTGCAGGCGATACCATCCTGCGATACGCTGAGCGCGCGTGTTCGACTTGTGCTGTGATAATAATAACGGCGTGAAATACGAATGTACTTATTACTCAGCCCTTGTGCTCCACTTGCCTGGAGTAAAAAAAGTCGGCTCAAGTTTTTTTTGCCTAATCGTGGCCAGCGGCCCTAAAAAAATTGACTTCATAAACGAACTCGATTTGATGGAACGGCACGGAACCTTAAGCTCGCTGGCAGCTGCAAGCACGCGGATGAACGCCTCTCCCGGCGTCTGGGCACGATGCAAAGGATCTGGGTTCGAGCCCTGGGTGGCTGCCGAGATGAACAATCACGTGGTGAGAGTCATGCTTCCAAGGCTGCTCGCCGATTTTTTTTCGCGATTTTTTTCATCCGGTATTCCCCTGCTCTCTTTAGAATGGGGGGCGGTGCAAACCAATAATGTGTGGTGCGAAATTCACATTCATATCCCAGCATCCCCCCCCCTCCCCCCAAAGAGAATGAGGGTGGGGGCTGACGTCATCGTCTCTCGTCGTTGTACACACGCCTGAGTGACTGCCCAAGCTTCCCCATGAGAGAGACGGGGTGGGGGGGGGGGGGGAGGTTGGACAGTGTTTGAGCTACACGCACAATGGCGTAAAAACAAAATACACGTTTGATTAATTGGGTAACGTCCCCAACGTCTGCCAGGATTTTTAAAACATTTGCGGATACGTAGAACGCAAACAGTCCCATAACGCAAAGAGTACCGATAGAGGCAACAGCTGACAATCAAAAGTCCCTCGTCCGGGGTAATGGGGCTTGAATGAAAAATTGATGCGAATGAGGTTACACATTTTTTTTATATTCTTGGTTCTTTTGGTAAAGTCACGTGGAAGGGAAATAATGAAATAATAAAAATAAACCAATAAATTACTTCGGCTAAAAAATTATTGCTGTAGTTTTCACACCTGATGAAGATTGCTTGCGTTGCGATTGAAAGGTCGTGAATTTTTATTACGTTCGATTTTTATTTTATTATTTCCCTTCTACCTGACTTAACCGAAAGAACCTAGAATATGAAAGCTTTAAATCGAAAAATAAAATTGGTTTCAGCTATAATTTGCACTCCGGGCGTGCTTTTGTAATTGTTCGTTGTAACTTTCTGACCACCACGTCCCCTCTCTTACTGGACATCTGTGAAAAAAGATATCTCATTGAATTCCTCCAGCAATAAATAAAGATTGAGGATTCTGAGAATTGGGGGTGGTGGGGGGGGGGTCAAGACGCATAACGTGCCGCCTGTTCTTATCACTCAAAAGCACGTGGGAGCGATCACGTGGGCACGGAGCAGCTGACCCCCCTCGATTGAGCAGCTAATAAAGTATCCCCTTTCTGTTGACACGAGCACGATTAGAGGGGCACCCCCCCCCCCGATGATTCCTCCACGGGGCTACGGGGAGCGAACGACCCCCCCCCCCCCCTGGCGCGTCTCGGGAGATGCGCCAGGGGGGGGTTCGTCGGCCACCACGCGGTGAGTTCCCCCGCACCCCCCTTGTCAGCATCCGCACGAGCTGCTGCCCGCCCCCTCGCCTCCGTCGTGCGAGAGCGACCTCCGGGGTTTCGGGGGAGCCGCCCCCACGGCCCAGTCGGGGATCCAGGCGTGCTCGTGGCCGAGCTGCACGCGACGCATCACGCGCTCCAGCAGCAGCTCGACGGCGCGTGCCACGTTCTCCCCCGTCGCCGCGCTCGTCTCCACGTACGGCATCCTGAGAGCGCGGGCACGCGCACGTGCAGGCACACGCAGGGGCACACACGCACGTGCAGGCACACGCACGTGCAGGCACACGCACGTGCAGGCACACGCAGGGGTACACACGCACACACGCAGGCACACGCGGGCACACGCACGTGCAGGGGTGTCGAGCGTTGAGCTGGGTCCGCACCCGAGCGGTGTGTTGTTGCACGCAACAGAGTTGCTCGTATGTGGACGCCTCTGTCGCCAGGTGCGCAACCGCCTTCTTAACCCCCTTTCCCGCGTCCGAGACGCCTGCAGGTTGCAGGGTGGGGGGGGGGGGGGGTCCCGCTCACCGCCGAATCTCGGGACGCGCGAGCGGCTCGGCGTTCTTTCGATTTTCATGCCCCCAGGGTCTGGAATGCTATTGCCAATAAACTGCAACTTGAATCACTACTTATGAGATCTTCACTCAAAACTGCTCTAGAGGAGTTGTACGGTACCCTAGCTGCCACTGCTATTCAGTGGCCTAAAATAAAATAAAATGTTTTGCTCCGGATGACCGCTGCAAAGTATTATCTGTATTTTGATTTAGTGTGCTGATCTTAAAGGTGCATTGAAAAATGTGATACTCCGACTGATGCTCCTGCTGTTGTGGAGTGACTCATGCAGCCAGCTGTGGCTCTAGGGTTTGTGTGTTATATGTTATTTATGTAGTTTATTGTGAAAATTTGGTCACAGTTCCTGTGAGCACTGTTACATTGCTTTTATTGCTTTAGTTTGGTGATTTCGAAAAGTTTTTTTTGGTTTGGCCATGTTTGTTTGTTGTAGTACGGAGTTAGACTGATGGCCTTAATCTAAGTTGTCTTGTGGTTGTTGTTGTTGTTGTTTGACTTGCATCCCACTGGGATTTTTGCACACAGCGTTGGTGTACGGTGCTTTTTCTGGAATATTTTGCTGTTTTTTTCCTGGATTTTCTGTTTGCACAGTCAACATATAGTCACTTTAAGATGTTTTCTTGTTCGTGTTTTTGTTTTTTTGTTTGTTGCGGTTGCACCCAATTCAAGAGCCGAATGGCTCACAGGGCTATACCAAATAAATGAAACTGAAACTGATTTATCGAGGTGTAGCGCCACAATGGGCCGCGGCCCTATGAAATGAAGTCGTGGGCCATCAGGAGGGGGCCCACGACTTCGTTTTAATTTGCAACTGCGTAGCCCACGCCGCCCTCAGGGCGAATGCCATGACATCACCAGAGAGTGTGCCCTGTGGTGGCGTCACTTTAAAGTGATTTGTCGAGCCTCAAGCTTGCGTCGGATTTAGGCAGGTGTGTCTACATTCATCATGACTTCAGGTATCCCACCAGAGCGCTGCCGTGGTGCGATGGTCAGCGCACTGAGGTCGCCGGTTTGACTCCGTATCTCGGTGCAGCAGTGGGTCAAGTTTCTCAAAATCCCACAGTCGATCGGCAGTATTTTCGCATCGGGGGGGGGGGGGGGGGTTAAGGGCAAAAAACACAAGGCAGTTCTAAATAAGTCAGGCAGGCCACGTGTGGTGAAGTAAAGTGTGGGTAGTCCCACCTCCTCCACATCGGCTGGGCGGAGTGGAAGAGTAGACCAAATAACTTCTGGCAAAGGGGCTCCCTACAGCTCCCTCTAGCGAAGGCCCTTTCTGCCAGCAGTAGCGTGAGCGAGCGAATGCAGGGACTGCGCCGTTGCCTTCGCCCAACACGTCTCTCGGTGGCGAGGATGTATGTACGTTGAACTTCTTTCGCACCGTACGTGGCCAACCGCGCTAATCGGAGGTGCCGGGGGAAAGAAAACAAACTGACCTCAACAACAAGCAGTTCTAAAGAAATGAGTTTGTCGATCGACATGATGTAAAAGCGCACGGCTCCAGCGCCTCCTTAATGTCGGAAGGGGGCATTCCAGACGGCCGCAGAAACGGCATCCGATGTCGAGGCCGGTGCTGCGCTCACCCGTACTCGCTCGCGAGCGACAGCGCGTCGTCCTCGCCGACGGCACGCTGCTCCGTCAGGTCGGCCTTGTTTCCGCACAGCACCACGTCCGGGCTGGGGCAGTACGCGTGGTGCTGCAGCTGGTCTGTCCGTCCCCCGCGCGCGCACGCACACGCGCGCACACACACGCGCACACACGCACACACGCGCACACACACGCACACACACGCACACAAACGCACACACACGCACGCGCAAAGGCAGAGGGGTGGCCGCGTCGCCCGGTCAGCATCGCGTCAGCCAGCGGAGGCCGCAGTTCGGTCCCTGTAACCAAAATCTCTCGCTGCCTGCCCGTAGACGGAGACGAGATCTGTCACGCGTCACCGAGACGGGGTGACCGTCCGTTAACCGAGATGGCAAGAGAGGCCCATCTGTAGTCACGCTGAGGGAGCATCGTCACACGAAATACTTTCAAGTCAGCGGAGCTCACTTGCAGCCCAGGTGTGAGTTGGGAGGCGTGCGCAGGGGAAGCCGGGTGGCAGAGGTGGTGGCTATGCACGTGGCTGCCTGGTAATCCGAAACTGCGGGGGCAGCAGCGGCGAGGGTCGGTGGATCACCGCTCAAATGAAAAAATGTTGCGAGACTCCCTTCCCGTGGGCGTCGAGGAAGTGCCCGTACCCTTGGCTTGCCAGCGGAATGCAGTACGGAAAAAGTGTGGACCGATATCGTCTGCGCGTTCTTTATGGGATAGAGCGTTGCCCCCTCGCATGCGTGGGATTTCTCTGGGTGTTCCGGTTTCCACCAACATCGGCTGAAAACATCTTAATATGCAGAGAACTGTAGAGCAATTGTCGGCAGCTCCTCAGCTTGATCTGTGGTTCCTCAGCGAACGTGAGATGCAATTTGCGTGAACTATGACAACGCTATGTATATAAAACTAATGCAGTAGAATCTCGATGATGCGTGCTAATGTCGGGGAAGACAGCAGTGGAGAATTCAAAATCGTGGATCATCCAAAAATATCTATTTTCCACGGATTTCTATGTCAAAAACCACTAACATAGGTATAAATTATGTTTAAGGAGTAAAAAATAATGTTTGTTAATGAAAAAAATTGTAGTTAGGAATTTATTGATCAATGCACGTGCTCAGTGATAACACTTTCCTGCTCCTGTGCAGAAGACTTGGCCCACCGAGTGTATGATAGCAGATTCACGCCAATGAACGTCAATCAAACTCCACCCCACTGTTGTAAATATATTGCAACTACTGTATTGTAGAGGCGATCACGTGGATTTTTGATTAACCGGAGCATGCATTTGTTGAGTTTAAGCACGTGACGTGTCATAAACATTTCCAGGAATAACAATGTATTACTGTTTTTAGATTATTAATTTGGCTTTAAGGAAAAATCCATGAGTTATTAATTTGTCAAAATCTCAGATGCGCGGTTTATCCGAAAATCGGATAAACCGCACGCGGATAATCGAGTATACCATAATTAGATGTTTCGTTTTGATTTAAAGCTTTCGTGACTAAGAATATGTTTCGTTTTCTTTAGATTCGTAAAAGTCACTCACCCATCCAGTGACGCACGTTCACAAAGCTCTGCTCGTCCGTGATGTCAAAGAACACAAAGAACCCCATGGCGTCGCGGAAGAACGCGTTGGTCAAACTCCGGAATCTGCGCAGAAAACAGAGACAAAAGGTCCCCCACGTGGAGCCTTTTAAAAATTGTTGTGGGGCAAGTTCCATTTGGGAGCACCTACAAAAGCCAAAACAGTGCACTCACTGGGGGAGGATGGCAAGCAACGTGCCCGGCCGCCTTTGTGTCCCAGATGCTTACACTCCGCACAAGATTTCTCAATTGAAGGCAGAGTTGACCAAAAGGGAGGCCCATGACCGGTTCAGATATTTTTCAAGATTGTTAACCGTGAGTGGGATATCGAACTAAGGTCAACCACTGCACTACCGCTCAAAAGGCAAAGATCCCCCGTGTAGTCTATAACAGACTGCTGGGGCAAGTGCTGTTAGCCAGCACCTATGAAGGAAGGCACGGCACACGAGGGGGTGGGTGGCCAGCACCACGCCCGGCCGCCTTTGTCTCCCGAGTGGCGATGTTTTTACACACCGCACCAGGTACTCATTTGAGGCTGAGTCGACCTAAAGGGAGGCCCAGGACCGGTTCAGGTAATCGTCACTGGGTGTTGGCTGTGAGCGGGAATCGAAGTCGGGTCGCCGGTTTCGAAAGGCAGTCCGCTAACCCCTACACGACCGTTCCCCACCACACGCACAGACACGACCACAGGAGACGACCACACACACACGCACACTCCCAGCGAAGCGCACATCAACATCCCTATCACACTTCGTGTAACCGAGACCAATTGCAGATCCAGTCGGCACACGAATTATATACAGGTATTGCTGATACGCACGCGAGTTTGTGTTCTGTATCGAGAATTAAATAACGCTGGAGCATTAATACAGCTGCTCTTCTGGACGAATGTATGTCATTCGTACGAAAGGGAGCACATTTTTTTTATCTTGACCATTTGTTTGTACCTTGGACGATGGCCCGCCACGGAGATCGGAGCGATAGAATCGGTTCGTTGCAGGCTCTAGGTCAATTGTTATATTGCAGGATCCTGAGAGGTGGCAATAACTTGAGGAGGCCTTCACACAGCAGTGGATTGATCATGGCTGCTGATTGTGATGATTGGGGTGCCGTGGTGGTGAGATGTTAACCCCTTCGCCTGGTATGCAGGAGATCGGGAGTTCGATCCCGACCTTGACGCCTGCTGTATATTTGGAGTTTGTGTCTCTCTCTCCCAGTGGTCACGTGGATTCTTCTCCAGGGCCTCCGGTTTTTCAGTCCACATTTAGAATCAACGTCACGTGTTTGGAGTATTTGGCTGCTATAATTTTCCACGTGATAAGCCACTTAGTTGAGCTGTCATTTGTGGCCAGGTCGCTTCTGAATAAAAGAGCTACGTCGCTCATTGGGCCTTACCTGGTAAAATGAATATAATATAAAAAAATATATATTTCGATTTGTTTTTTTTTATTGTGCCTCATTTGTAGTTTTGATTACATTAGCATATCATTTGTGGATGGTTTAACAGATCACACCCTGCTTGTGCCAAAGTCAATCCAGATTTGCCTTGCATAAATAAATGTCTCTACGATGCGTTTACCGGAGTTCGCGTGATGATGGTTCACGCTCCTCGACGAGCCGGCGAGGTTATTGTGCGTTCATTTGTGGCGAGAGCGACCCTTCTAACGCGTCGCCGCACAGGAACGCTGCGCGAATGCGAGCGAGCGTGAGCTCGGTAGCGAGAGGCGAGGGAGAGATGGGGGTGCGGGTGGGGGGTACCTCTCCTGCCCAGCGGTGTCCCACAGTTGCAGGTGAATCTTCAGGCCATCCCCGGCCGGGCCCTCCTTCCCGCCGGGATTAAAGATCTGGGAATATAAAGGATGCTTTCGTCATGACCAGTTCGCCCTGCCTTGAACCGCAATGGAAGTGGGGTGGCCTGGGTGGGACACTGCAGTGGGGTGGCCTGGGTGGGACACTGCAGTGGGGTGGCCTGGGTGGGACACTGAGTGGGGTGGCCTGGGTGGGACACTACAGTGGGGTGGCCTGGGTGGGACACTACAGTGGCCTGGGTGGGACACTACAGTGGCCTGGGTGGGACACTGCAGTGGGGTGGCCTGGGTGGGACACTGCAGTGGGGTGGGTGGGACACTGCAGTGGGGTGGCCTGGGTGGGACACTGAGTGGGGTGGCCTGGGTGGGACACTGCAGTGGCCTGGGTGGGACACTGAGTGGGGTGGCCTGGGTGGGACACTGCAGTGGGGTGGCCTGGGTGGGACACTGCAGTGGCCTGGGTGGGACACTGCAGTGGCCTGGGTGGGACACTGCAGTGGGGTGGCCTGGGTGGGACACTGCAGTGGCCTGGGTGGGACACTGCAGTGCACGGGACAATGGGGAGCTCACCACGCGCTTCTCGCGGAAATCGATTCCCACGGTCGAGATGAACTTTGTGGAAAATTTGCCATCGACGTAGCAGCCCAGGACGCTGGTCTTGCCAACGCCCGAGTCGCCCAACGACAGCATCTTGATGAGGTAGTCGTACTCGCCCGAGCTGTCGCCCATCGTAATGCCGACCGTCCTTCACTCCTCCTCCCTGCCTCTCCCTCTGGCTGGTCCAGGAGGAGTCCAACAGGGTCTGGCCGGAAGGTCGCCTCTGTGTTGCAACGACATGGGCCAACGAAAACGGTGCGCTCGTCAAAACTTAAGGCGAGATTTACCGGAGTAGTAATTTACGGCCTTTTGTGGAAGAATGTTATCTAGTAATAATAATTTCATTTCATATAGCGTCGTTCATGCAATTGCATCCCACAATGCTGCACATCAATTGTCCAGTTCCGTACAAAAAAATACAAAAATAAAACCCCACTGAGCGAATAAAAAAAATGAATACGTAAATAACAATTAAAAAACGAATACATGAATAACGAGTAATAATGCACATAATAAAAAATCGCAGAGAAAATTAATAAAAATAAAAAATCCGTTCGGTCTCCATACCCCAGACCACAATCTAAATAACGCCTCCTTCCATATTTGTCTCTCCACGTTACACAAATCGTCAGCTGCGCTACTTTTCTTGAGCCGCCACACTCACGATGTGCGACTTAAGAGAAGTGAGCAGTTCTCGACACATTGCTGGTTCTTTTGGTTCGCGACACATTGCTGGGCCCACGGCGACGAGCAGGAGGAGGAAGACGCGACGAGAGTGGCGAATGGTGTGAGAACGAGTGAGAGAGAGAGCGAGAACGAGAGAGTGTGTGTGTGAGTGAGAGAGTGTGTGTGTGAGTGTGTGTGATCACGCAGCTCTGAAGCATAATTGGGGCCATTGTGTGCGCGCACGAACCACTGTCGATGGTGTGACCATGATGGTATCACCATGACGGTGTCACCATGCCTCTCCCAAAATAGACAACAGCGCACGGGAGAGCTTTGTCTGGTGGAGGGGTTTATCTTTTTACCCCCGGGGAAACAAAGGGGGTCGTGGCCTCACGCTTCGCTGATTGTGCCCGCCCCCCCGCCTCCCTCCCAAGGTGTTACGCCTTTAAAAAGAGACACGGCAAAATAATTTGTTGCCTCTAAACAAAAATGTTCAACATCGACGAAATGGAACTAAAAGGTACTGTATTGGTTTCTTGTTTCTCGACCATCAAGTATATTCCGGATGGTTGTACGTTCCAAGTTAATGATTGATCGATCTGGGTTGGTAACTCAGACGTTGAACTAAAACTAAAAACTAAACAAATTGTTATATTTTACCAGGTTAGGCCCCCACTGAGAAACGTAGCGCTTTTTCAGAAGTGACCTGGCTACACCTCAGGAAAGCTCAACGAAGTGGCTTAGCAACAGCAGCATCATCAGCATCATCATCATCATCACGTGGAAATGTACAGCAGCCAAACACTCTGATGATGTCGATTCCGAATGTGGAGGGAACCCCCACGCGACCACGAGGCGAGAGAGGGAGACACCCGCAAACGCCACCGATACAACTGTGCCCACGCGTCCTTACGTGTGGGCACAGTTGCGACGAGTTGTTAGCAGGCTAAACTGCTCGAGAGAATGTTGCTACGAAGAAGAGCCATTGCCCTCGAAAAATGTGTTGACGTTTTTGTTGTTGTTGTTGTTGCTTGTTCTGATGCACACCCCACCCAACGCAGCATCACCGTTTACTCTCTCGCGTGAATTTGTCAAACTATTCGTGACGAGCAGTCAATGATAGAGGCGTTTATATCCAATGCAGTAGAAGCTCAACATTAAAGTACTAATCTGTGACGGGGTCTTCGTGTGTGTGTGTGAACAATGTAGTGAGACAAATATACTATTTCTCTCACACACTTCACACACACACACAAAACCAAAATTTTGATTTAAAGCTTTCGTGACTGCAGGGATTCATATTCTGATGATTGCTTGTGTTGCAGTCGAAACGTCGTGAGATTTTTATTGTTTTATATTTTTATTATTTTATTGTTTGCCTTCTACGCGACTTTACCGAAAGAACAAAGAATACACACACACCAGTTTATGAGACTCACCCAAAACGTGTGTTTGTTCACAATAAAGTTAGACAAGTCTGATATCACATACCTACCAGTTCAGAAGACGCAAACCACGTGTCCTTCCAGCGGACAATTTGCGTCTTTTGTTGTCCCCAGGATGGGGATCCTAATGAAGACAAAAAACTTTTTTGTAAAAGTTTGTTTGTTTTAAAACAACTGCCTTGCCTCGGCAACGCTTGCATTTATGTTTATTAAAAGTTACCACGTGAGTGAATGTGGGAGGGGGGGTGCCTAAGGCGCAACGCGATGGCCGTTGGGAGTGAGCTCACACGCCCCGTAGCTGTCAGGCGTCCTACACGTAGCGTGTCACACACACACACGTGGCGTGTCACACACACACACGTAGCGTGTCACACACACACACGTGGCGTGTCACACACACACGTGACGTGTCACACACACACACACGTAGCGTGTCACACACACACACGTAGCGTGTCACACACACACACACGTGGCGTGACACACACACACACGTGGCGTGACACACACACACACGTGGCGTGTCACACACACACACACACGTGGCGTGTCACACACACACACACGTGGCGTGTCACACACACACACGTAGCGTGTCACACACACACACACGTAGCGTGTCACACACACACACGTAGCGTGTCACACACACACGTAGCGTGTCACACACACACACACGTAGCGTGTCACACACACACACGTGGCGTGTCACACACACACGTAGCGTGTCACACACACACACACGTGGCGTGACACACACACACACGTAGCGTGTCACACACACACACGTAACGTGTCACACACACTCTCTCACACGTAGCGTGTCACACACGCACTCTCTCTCTCACACACGTGGCGTGTCACACACACACACTCTTTCTCTCACACGTAGCAAAGACAAAGATCCCCCGTGTAGCCTGAACAGACCGTTGGGGGCAAGTGCTGTTAGCGAGTAGCACCTGTGAAGGCCGGCACGGCACACGAGGAGGTGGGTGGCCAGCACCACGCCCGACCGCCTTTGTCTCCCCAGTGGCGATGTTTTTAAACACCGCGCCAGGTACTCATTTGAGGCTGAGTCGACCCAAGGGAAGCCCAGGATCGGCTCAAAGAATCGTCATCGGTGTTGGCCGTGAGCGGGTTCGTAGTGCAGCGTAGCGCTAACCGCTGCACCACCGCTCCCCACTTTGGAAGGAGCTCTCACACACTCACACACACCCCGTAGCAATCACGCATCTGACACGTAGCATGTCACACGTGAATCTCACACATAGCGACACCAACAGCACATACACAGCACAGATCACCACCCAGCAGGCAGCTGTGAAAGAGACTCAACTGTAGGCCAGTTTCCTTCTTAGAACTCATCAGCACAGACCACCATCCAACAGGCAGCTGTGAAAGAGACTCAACTGTAGATCAGTTTCCTTCTTAGAACTCATCAGCACAGACCACCATCCAACAGGCAGCAGTGAAAGAGACTCAACTGTAGATCAGTTTCCTTCTTAGAACTCATCAGCACGGACCACCATCCAACAGGCAGCAGTGAAAGAGACTCAACTGTAGGCCAGTTTCCTTCTTAGAATTCATCAGCACGGACCACCACCCAACAGGCAGCAGTGAAAGAGACTCAACTGTAGATCAGTTTCCTTCTTAGAACTCATCAGCACGGACCACCATCCAGCAGGCAGCAGTGAAAGAGACTCAACTGTAGATCAGTTTCCTTCTTAGAACTCATCAGCACAGACCACCATCCAACAGGCAGCAGTGAAAGAGACTCAACTGTAGATCAGTTTCCTTCTTAGAACTCATCAGCACAGACCACCATCCAACAGGCAGCAGTGAAAGAGACTCAACTGTAGATCAGTTTCCTTCTTAGAACTCATCAGCACAGACCACCAACCAGCAGGCAGCTGTGAAAGAGACTCAACTGTAGATCAGTTTCCTTCTTAGAACTCATCAGCACGGACCACCATGCAACAGGCAGCAGTGAAAGAGACTCAACTGTAGACCAGTTTCCTTCTTAGAACTCATCAGCACAGACCACCACCCAACAGCCAGCTGTGAAAGAGACTCAACTGTAGATCAGTTTCCTTCTTAGAACTCATCAGCACAGACCACCACCCAGCAGGCAGCTGTGAAAGAGACTCAACTGTAGATCAGTTTCCTTCTTAGAACTCATCAGCACAGACCACCATCCAACAGGGAGCAGTGAAAGAGACTCAACTGTAGATCAGTTTCCTTCTTAGAACTCATCAGCACAGACCACCACCCAACAGCCAGCTGTGAAAGAGACTCAACTGTAGATCAGTTTCCTTCTTAGAACTCATCAGCACAGACCACCGCCCAGCAGGCAGCTGTGAAAGAGACTCAACTGTAGATCAGTTTCCTTCTTAGAACTCATCAGCACAGACCACCATCCAACAGGCAGCAGTGAAAGAGACTCAACTGTAGATCAGTTTCCTTCTTAGAACTCATCAGCACAGACCACCATCCAACAGGGAGCAGTGAAAGAGACTCAACTGTAGATCAGTTTCCTTCTTAGAACTCATCAGCACAGACCACCATCCAACAGGGAGCAGTGAAAGAGACTCAACTGTAGATCAGTTTCCTTCTTAGAACTCATCAGCATAGACCACCACCCAACAGCCAGCTGTGAAAGAGACTCAACTGTAGATCAGTTTCCTTCTTAGAACTCATCAGCACAGACCACCACCCAGCAGGCAGCTGTGAAAGAGACTCAACTGTAGGCCAGTTTCCTTCTTAGAACTCATCAGCACAGACCACCATCCAACAGGGAGCAGTGAAAGAGACTCAACTGTAGATCAGTTTCCTTCTTAGAACTCATCAGCACAGACCACCATCCAACAGGGAGCAGTGAAAGAGACTCAACTGTAGATCAGTTTCTTAGAACTCATCAGCACAGACCACCATCCCAGAAACTCGTGATTTGGCAATGCTGCTGCGTTGTCAGCGGTGTACAGTTAGTCAAGTAAAATAAAAACTCATAACACTGCGGCCTTAAAATGGAAAATATAAAATAGGCGACCTCTCTGATAAACAACAACACAAACCGAATAAAGAACAATAATCATTAATAATAATACTGCAGTGCGCTCAGTCCTTGATCTATCCCCACTGCTGAATGCAGGGCTAGCACGCCCGTGTAGGTTCATGTGCGTACTTTTTGACCATACTTCACCACGCCGGTCAGTGCGGCTTGGTTAATCGGGGGGGGGGGGGGGGGGGGGGGGGGTCAGATAGATATCACTCGCCGGGGTTGAGAATCGAACTTGGGTGCCTCTAGGTTCGCAGCGCGCACGACGGGACCCACCGCGGGCCGCCGCTACACGTCGCAGCACCAACAACAGCAACAACAACAGCAGCAGCAACAGCAGCAGCAGCAACAACAACAAAACGGCCAGGTCACCTCCTCGTCCTGTGAAGACACTCAGGGACGTGGTTTGGAAAACCAACCACACACACAGCAGCAGCAGCGCAAACCGCACACACCCACACGGACCACCGCGGTATCCCTGTCGCTTGGAGTTCTCCGCCGAGTTAAAGCTAAAACAAAGTTGACTTTTACCAGCAGCAAGTGGAGAGACCGGCCTGCTGCTGCTGCTGCTGTCCGGCAACAACAGCTGTTTGGTCTGGAGGCCTCTCCTCTCCACGCCACCGAAGTCGTCCTAATCAGCTCGCGAGTCAAACAGCGCGCACCCGCGCAGCGCGAGCAGCACCGAGCAAGCAAAAGGGGCCCCAAGCAACTCAAGGGGATTGCGAGCAGCAAGAAACCTCCACCCACCCACACACAGCATTTGGGTGCGTCGAATGTCAACTCCGATTCAAATCATAATCAACATAGCCGGGCGATTAACATCAACGTGCAACACCGCTCACGATCTCCGCAGCTGTGTCCACGTTTCCTCTTCATATCCCCGTCCATACTGCACCTCCCGAGTAGGATGGGGGGGTCGCCTCCCTCAATGTTATTACTGCTTAGGGCCCTCAATGGTCCGGGACCAAAGACAAAGATCCCCCGTGTAGCCTTAACAGAGTGTTGGGGCAAGTGCTGTTAGCGAGTAGCACCAATGAAGGCCGGCACGGCACACGAGGGGGTGGGTGGCCAGCACCACGCCCGCCCGCCTTTGTCTCCCCAGTGACGACGTCCACACACCGCCGCTGCAGGTACTCATTTGATGCTGAGTCGACCTAGGGGAGGCCCCCAGCATCGGTTCAGATAACCGTCACCGGTGTTGACCTTGGCCCGAAATCGAACTCGGGTGGCCGGATTCGTAGCGCAGCGTAGCGCTAACCGCTACTACACTACCGCCCCCCACCCACCAAGGGCTTCTCTGATCGCCGAGCCAACATCGGGTGACAGTGAATTTGCATGACTGGTTTCTAAAGCTGGGTCTCGACAGCATGACCGCACCTACACAATGCAGCCCCAGAGTGTTGGGGGTTTTTTTGTTGTTTAAGGAGCGGTAATGATAGGGAGGGCCAATTGTGGATTTGTCAATAGATGTAACGATGAATATGTACAGTGAGTCAATTATTAATAGCGATTGCTACCAGCGCACATTAATGCTGGTGAATAAAAGCCGAGATAATGGAGATCATAGTGCAGAGCAATTATTGACTGCACGATGGCCTCCCCACGTTGCGTCTGCGGTCACGGGGGACTGTTTGGCCATACTTCACTGGGTGGTGAAGGTGGACACCCAGGGTGGTTTTGGGGGTCGCCCGCCACTGACGTGAGACGTGGCCGGGGAGTCAAATCGTCAGGTCGGCTGGGTTGAACTAAACAATGTAAAACTATTTTTACTTTGACCAGGTAAGACTCACTGAGCTATGTCGGAGCTCTTTTTTCAGCGGCGTGTTTCTCAAGGTAGAGAGAAAGACCGGAGGAGTCGGAGAATATCCATGAGATCACGGGGAGAGAGAGACAGGCAAACTCCAAATATACAACCTGGTGTAAGGGTCGGGATCGAACCCACGACCTCCTGTCTACCAGGCGAGGTAGTTAACATCTCGCCACCGTGATGATGATGAGAGAGAGAGACACCGCAAACTCCAAATATACAGCAGGCGTCAGTGTCGGGATCGAACCCACGACCTCCTATAGACCTGGCGAGGTAGTTAACATCTCGCCACCGTGATGATGATGAGAGAGACACGTAAACTCCAAATGTACAACAGGCATCGTCAGTGTCGGGATCGAACTCACGACCTCCTGTCTACCAGGCGAGGTAGTTAACATTTCGTCACCGTGATGATGATGAGAGAGAGAGACACAAACTCAAAATATACAGCAGGCGTCAGTGTCAGGATCGAACCCACGACCTCCTGTCTACCAGGCGAGGTAGTTAACATCTCGCCACCGTGATTATGATGAGAGAGACACGTAAACTCCAAATGTACAACAGGCATCGTCAGTGTCGGGATCGAACTCACGACCTCCTGTCTACCGGGCGAGGTAGTTAACATTTCGTCACCGTGATGATGATGAGAGAGAGAGACAAACTCAAAATATACAGCAGGCGTCAGTGTCGGGATCGAACCCACGACCTCCTGTCTACTCGGCGAGGTAGTTAACATCTCGACACCGTGATTATGATGAGAGAGAGCCACGTAAACTCGAAATGTACAACAGGCATCGTCACTGTCGGGATCGAACTCACGACCTCCTGTACACCTGGCGAGGTAGTTAACATCTCCTAGCCACCGTGATGATGATGAGAGAGACACGTAAACTCCAAATGTACAACAGGCATCGTCAGTGTCGGGATCGAACTCACGACCTCCTGTCTACCAGGCGAGGTAGTTAAGATTTCGTCACCGTGATGATGATGAGAGAGAGAGAGAGACACGCAAACTCAAAATATACAGCAGCAGGCGTCAGTGTCAGGATCGAACCCACGACCTCCTGTACACCTGGCGAGGTAGTTAACATCTCGCCACCGTGATGATGATGAGAGAGACACGTAAACTCCAAATGTACAACAGGCATCGTCAGTGTCGGGATCGAACTCACGACCTCCTGTATACCCGGCGAGGTAGTTAACATCTCCTAGCCACCGTGGCCCACGGCCATCGCGCAGTGCAGCAAACCCACCGTGCGTGACACAGCGCTCGGCTCTGGTGCACCGGTCGTCGTCAACCCACCGAGCGGTCGGTGTGACGCCACTGGAGCACCGCACCTGTCCCAGGTGTGACGAAGAGCGAGGCCACGTCACAGAGCCAGGTGAGCTGGGCGTGGTCCCATCGCACCACGTGGGGCTGCAGCCGTTACCACCCCTCTAACTACAACCATCCAGTTGCGCTTTAGCTACCTGTTGGTTGTTCTGCCAATGGGGCACTGCTGCGGGCAGTGTTTTTCAATCTTCAAGCCGACGTGTGACGATGAATCAGCCCCCCCCCAACCCCTCCCACCAACCCCCCCCCTCCCCCCCCCCCCCCCCCACGACGAGATCGATCATTTGCTCGCAATTCGATTCGAGAACGGACTACAGCGCTCTGTTGTAGTTCGTCATTGCCCGCTCAGAACCCGCGTTATAAGGGGGGCGTGTTCTGCGTTGTTGTGAAAGGTGTTCCCGAATTTAAGAACCGCGTTATAGCGAAAACGCGTTATGGTGTGAGCACGCGTTCAGCGAGGACTTACCGTATATATCGTACTATATTCATTTGAAAATTGTATGCACGTATGTATGTTGAACTTTTCTCGCACCGCACGTAGCCAACCGCGTTAATCGGAGGTGACTGTAGCATCCTCTAGTGACCGCGGGGGGTGGGCGGGAAGGGTCACGTTATATAATTGAAATACAACACGGATGAATCAAAAGACATTTGTTATTGTTGCAGTACATCCATTTCGATTCGATATGAGTGGGTGCATCGTTAGAGGCGGACTGACTACCACCAGCTGCCACGTTCACTGCTCACGACCCCCCCCTCCTCCTGCTCCTCCATGGAGGTGGATCATCATTTTGATTTTGATTATTTTTTTTAGAACTACACATCAATTATAATAATTGCGTCATGTCACACGAGACAAAGGCCTTTTTTCCCATCCGGAACGGTTTTGCGTCGCCGTGTAGCGGTGAATGCATCCAGAAAGATGAAGAAGACGCGGCAACCAGAGACAAAGCTCCCCCGTGTAGCCTTAACAGACTGTTGGGGCAAGTGCTGTTAGCGAGCACCTGTGGAGGCCGGCACGGCAAACGAAGGGGTGGGTGGCCATCACCACGCCCGGCCGACCTTGTCTCCCACGTGAAGACGTATACACATCGCACCAGGTATCAATTTGAGGCTGAGTCGACCTAGTGGAGGCCCAGGACCTGTTCAAATAATCGTCACTGGTATTGACCATGAGCCGGAAAACGAACTCGGGTCGCCGGTTTCAAAAGCGCAGTGCGCTAACCGCTACACTACCGCCCCCTGCAGCACCTCCGATTAGCACGGTTGGCTACGTATGGTGCGAAAGAAGTTCAACATACAGCACGTGCATACAGGTACTTCACACAGTCCCGTAAACTCCCTCTTATCCACACGCGGCAGCGGGCACCTTCTCGTATGCCCAGTGTCGAGTGTCCGTCACGTGGCGATCAACCCGAATGTTTCCCTTCTCACGAGTTGAAACTCGCCAACTGAAGCCATCGGGGAAGCAGGGCTTGAGCCCATCAAAGTTGCTGCAACTTTGATGGTAACGAGATGTCCTCCTGGACCCCAACGCAGCGCAGCAGCTGAGATGTCTCAGTGCTCTGATGCGTTCCCACAGAAACCCCCCCAGATCGCATCCCTTCCTTGAGTGGCTACGACATCATCATTCACGATACCATTTTAAGTAGTCTCAAAGTTAAAAAAATATATTTTACCAGGTAAGGCCCACTGAGTCACTGGCGGAGCCAGTGGGTGGGGGGGTGTCACGTGCCTTCCCAATGATCCAATCGAAATCCCTAATTTCGATCGGATCATTGGGGTTTATTAGTAATAAATCGGCATTTTGCGACTCCCACTGCCACTGTGTAGCATATTATTGCGTGGCCAGGGACTCTATGAGATGATTGGACAATAGTCTGTGTCCATAATTGGCAATAAGTAACGGCAAAGCGGTTATAAGTGACTCAGAATTGTGCGCAGTTGCTTATACAGAGTCCACGACTTCCCTGAAGGCATCAACACCTTCAACGAGCGCGATGTCGATCACACAACGCGGTTCTAATTCGACACTCGATCGATGGCTGCGCCATCGCCGCAAACGCATCGAATAAAAAAACAAAGGACAACTCCTTACTAACAACTCCTTACTTAATAACAACTCCTTACTAACAACTCCTTACTAACAACTCCTTACTAACAACTCCTTACTTACTAACAACTCCTTACTTACTAACAACTCCTTGCTAACAACTCCTTACTAACAACTCCTTACTTTTTAAAAGGGTAAAACCTATTCCTATATCTTGTTTCTGGCAAAGGAGGTCTCATAATGTTAATGCTCACCCCGAGCCCTCAATACTCTGATAGTGCGCTGTTTTTGAGTTGTACGCCTTTTGGCGTCTTCTGGTCCAACACCAATGGAGACTAAAGGGCTCTAAGAAAAGCTATCTCGGGTGTGGACCAATCAAATTCAAGGACAGTGCATATTATTATCAGAGTTGTCTTTTTTGTTTGCATTTTGACTGCTTGTGTTGTGGTTATTGCAAACATGATGCCTTGAATAAAGGTGTCAGTTTTTGTGCCAGTTAAAAGGGTAAAACCTATTCCTATAACTCCTTACTTACTAACAACTCCTCTATCATTTTTCATTGCTAGAGGGCTTGCCCCCCCCCCTACCTGAGAATCCTGGCTCTGCCATTGCACTGAGCTATATAGATCCTATTGAGAAACGATTTGGCTATCACAAATGATAGCTCAACGAAGTTGCTTATTATCACGTGGAAATGTAGAGCAGCCAAATACTTAAAATGCGTGATGTCGATCCTAACTGCGGAGTGAAGAACCAGAGG